CCAAAAAAAGAAAAAATTGTGATACAATTCCTAATTTTCCTCCTATTCGTAGAGAATACCAGACCAGCTTCTGTTCGGGATCTATATTTCAGTTTGGAAACCCTGATCCTCCTAATGAATTCAATAAGTTTATCAGTCAGCTGAGTGCTTCACTTAAAAATTTGATCCAACAAAGTATCCAGGATTATTGTAATTCTTCCTCAAATGTAGAATCTAATCTTAAAATGTACGAAATTGAATTAGAAAATAAAATTAAAGATATTATAGGTAATCTTTTTACATAACTTTAATGGCTTCCAAAAGCATTAAAATTATTCAATGGAATATTCGTTCGCTAAATGCAAGCAAATATTCTTTAAATCAATTACTTTTTAAAGAACGTTTTAACATTGCTCTTTTATCAGAAACTTGGTCCAAACCATCTGATACTGTTTGCTTCAATAATTTTAATATAGTTAATAAAAGTAGAAGTAAGGGATATGGAGGAGTTGCCGTAATTTTAGCAAATAACATTATTTATGAGCCCATTTCATTCGTTAACAATTTCAATCCTAATCTCGAAGTTTGTGATGTAAATATAAATATTGACCAAAAAATTTATTCTATTCTGAGTGTGTATCGTCCAGCAAAAGTTAGAGTAACAATGTAAGATTACGTTAGTCTTTTTTCTCAAATTAACAATGATTGTATCATTACCGGAGACTTTAATGCTCACCATGGATTATGGGGATCCAATTTATGTTCCGTCGATGGTAATATACTAGTAGAAGCATTAGATGCATTTCCTAATCTATTTGTTGTAAATGACGGGTCGTTGACAAATCTTTTAAAATTATCAAACCCTCAGTAAAATCTTTTAAAACTCCACCATGGTGGGATGATGAATGTCTCACAGTTTCGAATGCAAGGAAAAATTCTTTTAAAATGTATAAATCCAATTTTAACCTTTCAAACTTTATTGAATATAAGAGGAATGAAGATATGTGTAAACGCACATTCCGCTCAAAAGCCAAATCTAGTTGGGCTCGATTTTGTTCCTCACTTAGTAGGCAAACTTCACCCTCAGAGCTTTGGAAAAGGGTAAACAAAATTCAAGGTAAGAAAAAGTACACCGCTAATAATGAAGACATGGTAGAAAGTCTTTTTAGAAAAATCTCTCCAGACTATGTCCATCTACCAGTATTTATGCCAAGTATCTCCACTAATAATCACTTTTTACTAACCCCACTAAGTATGAATCTTTGCTTGTCCCAGGTTGAGGGGAATTATTCCTGGGTTGTCTTTCAGGTCTTTAATCTTCATTTCCTCCCCCATCGTCAGGGTGATCTTGTGGGAAAGGTTCATAATTAGTTTTTGACTTTGATGTGTTTACAGTCACTTCGTTATTACTTTTTATATATTTTGCGGAGTATCGTGGAAGTAATTTATTTCTGGTAACTGTTTTACGTGTATAGATTTTTGTGATGGGTTTATACGAATTAGGGTCTTGTCTCGATTTGTTTCTATTTTCGATGACTTAAATCAGTTATAAACAATCAACGTGGACGAAAGTTTATGTTTGCCAAAAAAGAAGGGGTCGGAGTTCGTCGGAATTATTTTTACGTAAATGCCAGCTGCATAAGGCTTACTCTTCAAACATTTCTTTAGGTGTTAACAAACTAAAAGATTTGAAACAGTTACTTTCAAAACATATAATTCCTGAACTTTGTAAAGCCTTTTACTATTAAATTTTTCGTTGATACTTTTTTTACAATTTCAATTTTATTTTTAAGTTCCTTTTTATTAAAATTGTTTGCTTTTACTACAATTTTCGATTTGTTTAATAAACTTTTTCAATGGCTTTTTGTGCTTATTTCAATTCGACCTTTCAAAACTAGCTAGGTAACCAAAAATTTTACAAAAAGAGTATGTCTGTGGAAATTTTATCTTTAAAAATAAATTCTAAATTTTTCTTAATTTTTCATCCCTAAATTTGATCTCCAATTGCAATTACGTCATTATTGCCTCAATTATTTTGTGGAAACAATGACGTAATTGCAATTGGGGATCATATTTAGGGATGACAAATTAAGAGTTTATTTCGAATGTGTAATAGAGTTACAATGTATCACGGTGGCTAAGTATAATTGCAATACTACTCCAGTAACTTCATTATGCTTCATTGCATGAGGTATTAAGTAAAATAATTTTATATTTTTGGATCTCCTGAAAAGTTAAGACTTCTGTAGTTGCGTCATTGTTCCACCGGGACAGCGATATTACATCATAGGTAAGAGAGCAATGTAAAGAGTAAGTAACGAATAACTTTTAAAATGAAGTATCACTCGACCTTCTCTCTGTTTTACATTCTAGGAATGGTTTCACCCCTAAGATATTGCAGATATAATAGTAAACTGGTGATTATTTAATTATGAATAACTGGTAAATAACTAAGTGTCTACCTTGAAAACAAAATCGACGGATCTAAGTGGTCTCTAAGAAAATTAATAAGCTCTCGGACAATGTCTGTTTAGTTTTCGGTTCTCCACCCTGTATATAATACATTCATTGCTATATAACTAACTAAAGTAACTCGAACCTCCGCAGCAACATTTACATGTTTTTGTAACGTCTGCATTCTTGCAACACGTAGATTATTTTTGTAGCATCATTAATATTTTGAGTGACATAATTGTTAGTAGTCAAGTCAATTTTGCATAGTTTTCAGGAGACGACTTATCAGTTTTGACACGTCAGGAATCGATTTTATATATGATGGAATGCTAAAACAAAAAATTAAGATATATTATAATATAAACATATCATTAGTCATTGGTCTCATTTTGTGACTACCAAGTGATAATTGTAGATATGAGACCCTTTATTCAATATCGACATACCCAGTTATTCACCTAAATATGTTAATGAAAATAAGCCAATCTATGTATTTTATGTTTTGGTTTAATGACTTAAACATAAAAAAGAATATTACTATTAAACTGGGAATAATCCAGAATTAAAGATAAAAATACGTTTATTGACGTTTCAATTTCCACTTCGGAAATCATTCTCAAAATACAAACAATTTACTGTTTGTATTTTGAGAACGATTTCCGAAGTGGAAATTGAAACGTCAATAAACGTATTTTTATCTTTAATTGTGGCTTATTCCCAGTTTAATAGTAATTAATTTACAATGCCACAAGAAAATAGCTTCAGAACAATAAAAAAGAATATTTCTTTATTTAAAATTAAAAAAAAAAACAGTTTTACAGTTTAACAAACATCCATATAGTTTATGTATCTTGATCAGAATCCAATTCCTCCAGGTCAGGATCATTGACAACTTTGTTTTTAGTTTTCATAACGACAACGATATTACCTTGATTCTGATCACTACACGTATCGGAATGAAATGTTACTTCCGTTTTTTTTTTATAGGAGAACTGTGTTAAAAAATTATTGGGACATGAGACACAATTTCATCGGCTCCCTGTCAAATATACACTGCGCGTACACGTCACGAAAAAGAGGCCACCTAGAAGAATTTGAAATTTATTCTATTGTAACTAAATTCCCACAATGCAAAAACACTTTTAGCGTGCCGACAGGTCAATTAAGGGTAATAAGTTTGCAGAATTCATATCAGTTTTACAACTTTGGATAATGCACCTGTTGTTTGTACCTTATTTTTCTTGAAATAGGGCTATTCTGGTTTTAAAAACCTTTCACTAGTGTACAGTTGTTCGAAGAGTAAACTTTGCAATTTTTAAATAACTATGGCTAAGAAATTTGCTAGGTCTGTTCAAGTTCTGATTGGTATTGGAATGAGTCAAACACCAGTAGCCAGACAGGTTGGAGTCAGTCGTTGTCCAAAGTCGTGGTCCAAAAAATTTACCAACTATTCGTAGAGACTGGATCTCACGAACGACGACCAGGATCAGGCGCGAGAGAAAAAACCCAGTACATTCTGCTCGATTACATATACAGGCAAAATAACAACAAAAATTGCCAAACACATAAAAAACAAAGGAATAACACCAGCTTTCGGAACAAATAACAACCTAGGCAAATATATTAAAAATAACAACAGCCAAAATAAAAAAAAACACTTAAATAGTGGTGTGTACAAACTTCAATGTGGCGACTGCCCAAAAACTTACATCGTTCAAACTGGTAGAAACTTTGATAACCGAATAGCAGAACATAAAGGGCTTTCAAGAATAGAAAAACAGATTCGACATACGCACTTCACCTTCTAGATCATAATCATTCTTTTAATGACAAATTTAAAATTCTTCACATTCAAAATAAAGGCCTTAAGCTATCTTTGTTAGAATCTATGGAAATCAACAAATTAAAAAACACAGATATAATTCTGAATGACCAACTTGAGACAAACAGTTCTCCCCTCCTCAACCTATTTCATTAGAGACTATAAATTTGTAAACCCAAGCCAAAAATAGATCACTTGAGAAAGGCAATCAGCCGAAACAGCTGTAGTGATAAGATTTAAAATAAATTTTGTGGAAGTTTGAAAACAAAGTTTTCAGTGTTTTATGTTTACATAAAATGAATTTCCATCAAGTAACGGTCGAATCCATCAATTATAAAAAAATTACTTAGTTCTAGCGTACTTTAATATAAACCTAACTTAATATTATTATACTTAGATCCCTAATGTAGTGTATCTCTTAGATTGAGACCTTAAAGTCTCTGAGAAGTTTTCAGCATCCAATGTACATACAATAAAGATATTAAACTAGTTGCGTAAAGTTTTGTCAATATTACGCACCTCTCGTATATATCGTTCTCCTAAGTAAATACAATAGTGTTTATACCGTGAGACTAAAGTAAAGTACCATTCCATTATGTTTACCCTATTCTACTCTATCTAGACCTAGACTAGCTACGTAGAAGTAAATCTCTTTAGAAAGGCTAGAAGTAAATTACTTTCTTACACTAAAATTTTGCTTTATTTGCTATATTAAAAATATTGTTTATTTTTTTTGTGTTTTTAGAGGACTTCGTTAAACTTCTCTTGAAAGAAAATATCATCCAGAATTATACAGCACAAAGAGTAACTGTTCGTGAATTTTACAACAAAAATTATAGAGATGTGGGAAATATGTGTTTTTCTGATTTTAACTTGGAGCTATGGAAATACTGGTATATAAGTTCCTTTACGAAAAACACTATAAAATTTGATGAACGATGGATAAATTATTTTGCTCTCCAAGTTGGTAAGTAGTTTTTGAACAATATTAGTACTATAAGAAATGTGAAAGTTTGATTGATCTCTTAAGTCTATAAATTATGTGCGGAAAATTAAATAAGTCTATAAATGGGTATAACGTAAATAATATGATGACTATTAATAGCCACGCAATGGAGTTTTAAAAGTACTTAAGGTTTAACTAATTTATGCAGGAAGGACTAGGAAGACTGCGACAAAAAATAAATTCCATTTTTTATATAAAATATACAACTTCAATTCAAATATAATATATAGTGTAAGTGAATTGTATGCCATTTAGCTAATCTTACCATACTTTTTCATCTTCTTCTTAGGATGCCTGTCCTTTCCGAACATTGGCGATCATTCTGGCTATGATGACTTTGTTGGCTGCTATACGAAATAGCTGTGTTGAGGTTTTTCTATGCTATGCTCTCAGGTTAACAAGCCAGGATATTCTTCTTCGTCCTGGGGCCCTTTTTCCTTCAATTTTACCTTCCAAAATGCATTGAAGTAGCTCGTCTCTGCCTTGATTTCTCATTATATGTCCCAAGTACTGCAGCTCACGGCCCTTTACAATGTTGACCAAATCCGCGGTTGTTTTGATCCTCCGCAGTACTTCTTCATTGGTGACTTTGTCTTTCCATCCATCCATCTTCAGGATCCTTCTGTGTAGCCATAACTCAAAAACCTGAAGTGTTGATAGTTTCCGCCTTGTAATGTCCACGTTTCTACTCCGTACAGGAGTACTTTTCAGTAACATTTCAGGAGCCTTCTTTTTGTTTCTACTTTTTTATGCTTCCAAAATGTTATTTAAAATATGTAGACGTATTTAAATAAAATGGTGTAAAGAGTATCACCGCTCCCTAGGCAGGCAGCGTTAAGACAAGTTATAGGATAATGCACAGTTGAAGTCTTTGTCACTATGGGACAGAGCTAGAAGTACAGATATACGACGTAGATGTAAGGTAACATCAAGAACTGGGTAAGAAATAGAACAGTAGAATGCAACGATCATATAAGCCGAATTACGACAAATAAAGTAGTAAAAATGACAAGAGACGGTTCCCCAATAGGAAGACGATCAGCAGGAAGACCACGAAAACGATGGAACGACCACTTACTGGAGGCACATTAAAAAACAGACAGTCATGTATACCCAAAAAGAAGAAAAAGTCTTTGTGTTAAATTTAACAAGACGAAGTCTCCCACTTAATGTGTCTTGACATCCACAATAGCTTTGGTTTGAAGCATTTCTCTTTCGTAGCTTTCAACATATGAAATATCTTCGTTGCTTCCTCATAACTCGTTTCGTTCCTCTCCATCGCACGAAGAAGACCGTGATCTCATTGCAAGTTTCCGTGAAGATTTTGGTTTGTTTGAAAAAAGACCGTTTGTTTCAATGGAAATGTTTTTTATCTTTCTAGCACTTGCTTTAGCCTCTTAAGTATTGTATTTTTCTGGTGTGTCGCTAAAGATTCCTTAATGAACCATATTTTTGCTTTTTAATCCGCTTTTGTGGATCTGCCTTCGAAAACGATCGTAAAATTTCTGGACTAACAAAATTTTGTTTAGTGTTTAAATCGTTCTTTTGCACGTGGGCTTTTAACGTTATGGCTTACACTCTAAAATGTTCGCGGTGTTCAAAATTTACTATTTTACGCCGTTTTCTAACTCAGGGTAACGATGACTAAAACCGCGATACCAGTCATAGCCAGCAATGGATTATTCCATATTTTAGGATATTTCTGTGGTAAAACAGCCTTTTCTTTATTTGTCATAAAGTAATACTTGGGAACAACAGTTAACTCAAATTGGGATCAAGCGAAGGAAATACGTATAAGAGTAGAAAAGGCAAGAGCATCGTTCACTAGCATGAAGCAAATTTTCACCTCTAAAAGCCTCACCCAACCTCTCAAAATTCGACTTTTGAAATGTTATGTTTCCCGGTTTTGTTATATGGAATGGAGGCGTGGACAATGACCGCAACATTGATGAAAAAGTAGAGGCCTTCGAAATGTGCCCACATTACCGACGTATATTACGTATATCCTGGACTGGGCACGTGACCAACGAAGAGGTACTACGCCGGATAGGTAAAGACAGAGAGGTAGGAATAAGTATAAAGAAAAGAAAGTTGGAATACTTGGATCACGTTATGAGACATAAGAAATATAGAGTACTACAGCTGATCGTTCAAGGGAAAATAGACAGCAGAAGGGGTCCAGGGAGGAGAAGACGCTCGTGGCTCCAAAACTTGCGGCAATGGTTCGGATTGTCATCTGCTGAACTATTCAGATCTGCCGTAAATAAAGTCAGAATAGCCATGTTGATTGCCAACGTTCGGAACGGACAAGGCACATGAAGAAGAAAATAATATTGTCATCAGGAGCATGTAACTTTTTTTGCACAGGTCTATTAAGCGTTTGCTTGTCAATATCATGTTTCCTTTCAATTGCGCGTAATTTTGCTCCCCCAAGAACTTCTTTCACTGCGGTTTTCATAACGTCAGAAGGAGGAACTACTCGTTTTGTCTTTTTAATCCAAAACGGATATCTGAGAGAATATTATCAACAAATTATTTTTAATCAGTTTAGCAGTTTTATGCACATTTGCACCAATGTTCGTTAAAACTTAACGACTACTTGACAAACACTTTAATCATCAAATAATATCTAAAACTTTCAGTTGTAAAATTGTTGTTAAATTTTAACAGAAACTGGTGAAAATGGGCATTATTCATTTTAAAATACTAGTAATGCAGTCAGTGAGGCGTTTCACGAGAATGTTAAGATATTATTTTATAAAACGCTATATAGACATGCTTTGGGGAGACATGAAATGTAGCACGTCTCCCCAAAGCAACTGTCTCATGTCTCTCTATATAGAATTTTATCAAATAATCTAACATAAAATTCTTGTTCAAATTCTAACCAAATAATTTAAAACACACCTAAAGAACAAACTCGAAATCTCACTTGATACACGCTACAACGATATTGCGAGATTAAAATTTACTTTCAGTGGAAATTCTGCACGTGCACTAACAACAAAGTTCAATCATTGTCGCCGGTTCGCTGGCAAACTACTGAGAAACTTGAGTCAAGCTATGAACCAGTAACCAACAGATGGCTCTGTTTACCCGATTTTAGAAAATAAATGTAGTGTCATTCCTTCCTTGTCTTAAGTCTCCCTAGTCTCATAGGGAGAATACATTACATGGTATTCCTATTAAATTGATTTCCGTAATCTTTAAGATTTCAAACATGTACAAACACAGAACACACCTTGATCGTTGGTCCTCTCTTCAGGGTTGTATGCCGGTGGATTTGGCCACCGAGCCTGCGTCTATAACAACGCGACCTCGAGGCTCGGGAGTCACAATTCTTTGTAGTTTTCTTGTCTAGAAACTACAGTCCTATCTCTCTCTATAACGATGTACAAGGGAAAAAGGGATGTAAAATATATTTAGCCTACATTATCAAAAAAATCTGTCACCTTGGTCTGTCTTCTTTTCCCTTTCCACAGTACTGACCTGACCTTGTCCTGAAGACGCATCGAATCTTCCACAGCACTCATATCGTCTTCCTGGTGGATGAAAAATCGATGCAGTACTTTTGCCGCATTCAATGCCTGCTGCGGCAGGCATTGAATGAATGATTTCTTCGGTTCTTGAAGATTTCATGTGCCTCGTCATCCACTTATTTCAATATGATTTTCTATTTTGCCTGGAAAATTTTTTTCTGTCTCTTAACTAGAGATGTTAATCGCTTTTTTTATTTTATACTACTTGTATTTTTTTCCTACAAGATCAAGTATAGGTACTGTTGGCCATACTTAGTTTTATTTTAAAAATTAATTAGCTCTTTCTTCCTACAAGAGGTCTTAGTTTGCTTTTAAATGTCTTCGTTTTCAGCAGTTCCGTGAGATTTTTTCAAGTAGAAAAAGTCCATTGACGAAGAAGTCTTAAAGAAGCCTGAAGTTTTCGAAATGCCATTACAACAATCGTCAAATGTCTAGTGAAGTTTGTAACGTTATAAAATATATATAAACAGATGTTATTGACAGTTTAGAACAGTAGTATTTTTGAAGTTTAAAGTTGTTCTTGAGTTACTCTAAACAAGTACTGTACTGTTGGTGTTCGTGTCTTTTTCGTGTTTAGGGACAATTTATTTTCCTTAGTGACTGCTACCACCCTATCAACCATTTCTTGTAAATTCTCAAGACGTTTCCACAGCCAATTATAAAAGAGAGCGCTATTGATCCTAATATTCTTACCCTCTCTAAATGTTTTTAGACCCAAGACTAAGATCCTGCCTAGTATTTATTTAGTCACAACATTGATAGTGTTCCGTGGTTGTGTGGATCTGTGTGTGATAAATTTCCACAGAAACAATATAAAAATAATAAGATTGAATAAAAACGTAGAAAAAACTGTTAATAACATTTATTTTGTAAAATGTAATTAATTCTCGAAGGGATGGTATTTTTTGTTTATGTATCACGGACCGTTGCAAATAGTGCAAAGATTACTGAAAAACTCAAACTGAACTACAACACAAAACACGCATTCTTTGTTTTTAAAAGCCACACGATAAACTTTTATGATCGGGCTGGTCGTTTCCCATAAATGCAACGCACTCAAAATGTGTACTTAATTAAATAAAATAAAATATAAATATAAATAAAATATATTGAGGAACGCATTTCAATTTTTATTTCATTTCTATTATGTGTATAACCAATTGCGAAAATGTAAATTTTAATATGAGATAGTTTTATTTAATTTTTGAATACAAAAGTTTAATTATTCGTAATTAGCTTGTCGCTACAATAGTATTTAAAACAAAACATTGTAAATATAAAAAGTCAAAATCATTGGATAGTTTTATGCTCATGTATTTAATAATTGGCAGTATTATATTTTCCTTTTACTGGAACAGTTTGTAAATTTAATATTGTAATACATATTTTTTAGGAGGAAGCTCTGTGAATAAGGAACCATTTAACGAACAAGTCTATATCAATGACAAAAAGTGTCTGTTGTGTAATGTTACCTTTAACAATCGGGGTAATTATGTAGGCCATTTAGACAAATTAAGTCATCAAGTTCGTTTGAGTTACGCTAAAAACAAGTAAGTTGTAAGACATACTCGTATTTACGGTGTTAGTAGTCATTAGAAATAAACAAGGGCCAAAAACATTATGCATTAAAGTTAGTGTTGCCGAAAATCGGTCTTGCAGTCGTGGTCTTGTTCTTGCGTTTTCTTGCCGGCGAGACTTTGAGTGTCGTTTTAGGGAGTATCCTGTATACTATAGTAAAATTCATTAAGCGGTGCAGGAAAATATAAACATTAAATCGTGTCCGAACCGGTATGAACCGCCGATAACATCGCCAGACGAAATAAAGATGGACATTCCGGTTAGTTTTTAAATATTTTTGAAGAACTGTTACTTGCATTTATGCATAAAATATTCATTAATTTTATAAATCGGAGTATTTTTTCACTTACTTTGTATTCAGTGATAACATTAATTTATTTACTATGCAATAAACACGAATATTTGAGAAAAGAAAAAAAATAATAAAGTGTCATAATTATACTGTTACTTATCGGAACGAGTAGACTCATTTGGAACATCTTTAACAATTATCTGTTAAATTTATCGTTGTTTATATGCCCTGCACTGCTTAATGGAATAAGGTATAGTTCGGGTATATGTTTAAGACTACGAGACGCAAAGAATATGTAACAAAAATTTGGAAAATTGGACTTATGTGCATAACGACCAATACCGTAAACATACATAGCAAATCAAATATTCATTAAAAGAACACTTGACACATTTTACACATACTCTAGAGTTTATAATTACAATTTAAAAATAAAATATGTTGTACATTCTTTCCCAGCAGACGACTTTTCACTCTGAAATTAATTGTCAATATTTTGAGAATAGCTGCCCTCTAATCATAAATAAATAATCTTGCGTTGCGGCACCTAGAGTAGAATAATACCGTACCGAAACTTTTTAAAATTATGTCACCTTAGCTGATAAAAATATAATAAGGTTAGCACAGGTACCAACTGTTAAGGACACCCACTTAATAATTCAATTTTTTTCCTGATTATAATTATACGAGAATCTAAATACTACAAATCTTATCGGCCTAAGAATAAACATCGTTTCTGCTGAGTGTGCGATGAGATCATCCTGTTCAAAATTTGCTGAAAGTGCGGCTAATATTCAATAACGGGACAAATTAATAACAGATAATGCCGGTCACCGTGTACTCGTAAACAAAATACCGAAATATTTTAAAGTAACGAAGTTAGACGTGAGCTAAATATCACTACCCTGTGATTTAATAGCTGTGATTAGAAAATAAGAATGTGAAGTCGCTTTCTAATGGTCTAAGGCCAGGTGTATTTGCTCAAGACTGTCGTAAGTGCCGTCTTGTTCTTGCATTTGGCCAACACTAATTAAAGTCAATATTAAATACCATATTTACCATAGTTTATATACAAGGAGCTGGGGAAAATTCTTGAGAAAATTATTGGTATGTTTCTTATTTTCAAACACTGTATTGTGAGTCAAGTTAACATGTAGACAGAATAATTACCAATTTTAAATCGTATATGTTCAGTTTTTTGATTTGCGACATATTTATAACCAGGTTGTCACGGATTGTGGATTTCAGCATTTATGGTATAATTTTTGAAACCTTATTTGCACCTAGTTATGGATAATAAAATAAAACATACTGTATCGAATTTTTAATATTTGACGCTTCGGAAAAGCTTATCAATACTCTTTAGCTGTGTCGTGGAAAGTGTATAATTCCTGACTATATATTTAGATTATATAGTTACCCAGAAATCATAGGGTTATATAGACCACTCATTTTGACTTTACACGGTGGTTATTGGCCCAATTCTTATAACATAAAAACTCTAATGTTGTGTTATGATAAACTTTCATTAATAATTGTAATACTGCATTTATATATGCTACTTGTTCAAATTTAAAATATTTTTTAAATGAATAAATGAAAAGTGTTCTCATAGCCTCCGGATTATAATAAATATTTTTTAATAAAACAGTTGAAATAGTTGAAATTATATAGCTAAGCCTTTTTGTTAGAATATAATACAAAATCAAGTTTAATTTTTATTTTTTAGTTTTTTTCTTTCTCAGTATTGATTTGCATCAGTCTTTAGACTTCAATTCCCTTTTACCACAAACATCGCATATTTCACCAAATTTGGTGTTTTCGCAGTTTTTTCATGTATCCGACGTGAACATTTGATCCAATCTTCTGTTTTAGTGGTTTAGTCGTAATCATCATAACAACCTACACATTCGTTTTCATTTAAACAAAGTAAATCATCTTCATCATCAGTGTCCTTAGAAAATGGAGATGTACTTCAGGGTTTTCCTAGTAGGTATTTTAAGTAGGCTGAACTTTTTCTTTCCTTTTTTCTTGTTTTCTGTTTTTCTTGTTTTCTTCGCTTGTCTTCTATGTTTTTCGTTTTTCTTCTCTTTTCTTGTTTTATTTTAATGCTTTACTCTTTTTTACCTTTTTTCTTTTTAAGGACAATTTTTTTTCGGGATAGCTTAAAACTATTGGTATAGTTTGAGATTTTCTTTTCAAAGTCTGAACTTTAGTGACACAAGGCACAAAAATATTTTTATAACTTCTTGTGTTGCCAGAATTGATAACGTTTATTGAGCTACTAGGACCAGCCACAGCGATCCTAGTCAAATAATTTTTTTGAGATGTGTTTTGAGGCCTGGAATCTGTGGATTCTCTTACTGCTTCAGGTTCAAAAGGAATGATTCCGCAAGTTCTAAAACCACTAATTTCATTTTCTACATTTGCTGTTTTTCCCCAAGGTAAGTTAAGGAGCGTACCAAACTGCAACCAGGTGATCTTCCTTGGGTGATTTTCAATGTAGTTGGAGCAAGTAGAATTACTATTTCTTTATTATCTATCACTATTTCTTTATTTTCTGCCAAATCCAGCGTTTTAATGCAACTATTATGGACCACTTTTCCTGCTGGTTTTGTTGTTCAATTGTAAACCTGTTTCAGTCATGTTGAAAATGTTTCCAGATTTATCTATGAGACCGTTTTCTTCCAAAACATTTTTTAAGAGGTTTAAGTACCCTTTGATAGTTAATTTATTTAAGCCCTTTGCCCTTGTAATGGACGCGCCTTTAGATTGTAGGATGGAAAGTTCAGGATTACGCCCAAGACAAGGAGAATTGTAGTCGTAGCTAATTTGTTTGGTTTTATGGTCAAAATTATGTTTTATTTGCAGGTTTTTTGTTAAATAATAAGCCATGGAGGGTACTGAATCTCTGGTTGGTGTAAATCCCGTCGATTTTAGTTTTTTTAATATGCCCACTCATTTTTGTCGTTTATGACTCTTAACAACGAGTTTTTTTCTATTTGACCTTTAATACAACTGTACCTAACTTGAGACGCCATTTCATAGTGATTTTTGGTATGGCAAACGCTTTTGCTGCAGCAATTACTCACATTTCCTTATTACCAAAAGCTTTGACAGTATTTTTCAAACTAACTTCAGACTCACTTTAACTGATCAAAAGAAACAAACAATTTTTTTTCTAAAATACACGTGAAAATAATGAGAAAGCCTTAGGAGCATTCCATCTACTCAATAGCAACAACTTTACATACCGACTGCAAAGTCGGTAGACCAAAAAAATATTCGACTGGTCCGTCTATACCATACCGGTGGTCTATCTATTCCCGACTTACCCTACCGTTAAACACTTATTTGTTCATTTATATTATCTTATTTTGTTCAGACTTGTGTTTTAACGAAAGAAAAAAATTGTATACAAATTAGATTATGTTATATTTGCTCTGAATTCTTTTGTGGAAGTGACTCAACTTCATACCGAAAGAAGGCTTTTTTTTGACTTAATAGTTTTGTATATAATTATAAAATAATATGTATTATTTTAGGGGAAGTTTCAAAAACAATAAAGAATTAAAAATAAGTTTGGTATTTAATGGAAAAAAATATGCGGAAAAAAAACTACAAGTTCCCGTGAAAACAGATATGCAAGCAACTTTACGTATTCAAAATATCTCGAAAAAAATAATTAACATTATGGATATAATTAAGATTAATAGTTTGTTCCGAGATATAAACATTCAAGAAGAATTTGAGAGTGGAGTTCTTTTGAAGCCCTCTGCTTCCGTTGATATTACGATCAGGGCTTATTTCGAACATAGTGTATCTGTTGTATATCCCATTGTACTAGTTACTGAAGAAAATAAGTCAATGCAACAAAGTTTCCATTTATTTATGTTTGTAAGTACTGTTCACAAATATTTTTTAAAAAAAACATGCATGCCAACTTCTTGCACGAGGTTCGTATGGATTTCTTGAGCGTATTTAGTAAACTTTTTGTTTAATAACATCCTAGAGGAATAAGTCCAAAATTGTGAGATCTGGTTGGGCATATCAACGAACCACCACAGACTATCCGATAGTTTGAAAAATTTTCATTTAGCCACTACTTCATGGTTCTGGTATAATGTAGTGAACAGAAGAGCCATCCGATTGGATAAAAAAATTCAATCGCTTATTAAGTGAAAGCTCATGAATATAATTTTAAACATCATCCCCAAACACTCTTCATCTCTTTCTTGGACTTCCTCTCGTTTTTCGCCATGTGGCACTCTTCAACCAATGTTCTTGACTTGTCTATTACCTTGTATTATTTACATGTCTGAGCCAATCTAGTCTACATTTTTTCACGACTTTTGTTATTGGACGGTTAACATATAATTAATAGGTGAAGGGTGTACAAAATTTTATAGTGGGGTATAATGGCATAGGGCTTGAATATACCCAATTCATTCTTTAGGAATGCTCAGAAATGAATATTTAATTGTGGCGTGGGTAAAGTACTACCATATTTCTAAGAGACTCATTATCCAGCTCAGAGGGGTGCTTTTGCTCGTGGTATCAAATTAGACACTTATCGATAATAAATATTAATGACTCTCTTAGATCTCTGGTATTACTTCACCAGTCATGCTAGTTAATATTCAGTTTCGCTTCATCGGTCAGAATGGGAGCACGTTCGATTATTTTATTTTTGGCATTGAAAAGTTTTTAGTGCAATAAACCGGTAAGTTTAAATATTTATAATGAATTATAAGGATTATTGTTTTATTGTTTTCATATTTCAAATTTAGGAAATACTTTATTGTTTTGTCAAAAATTGTATTTCTTTAAATTAAGTTCATGTGGGGTAAAATTACTTTAGAGGGCAAAATGGCATAGTATGTCATTTTACCTGATCGTACATAAATAAAAATAATGTGCATTACAAATAAATATCATTTCTGTTTTTTACAGATTATGCCGCGAAATTACACAAGAACGACCAATAGGCAATCATGGCATATAGATTCTATGGTAAAGGCAAAAGAGGCTGTTAATAAGGTTGAAATGGGGTGGGAGTGGTTTTTTGCAAGGGCACGTCTTGCATAAAAATAAAAATTTAAAAACAGGCGAAAAACGACTAGGCAGGTTTAAACCTACTTTTTTCCATAGAAATAGAAAGACAGTTGAATATTTAAAAATGCTAGACTGAAGGTTCTTTGGACTACCGAGACGGGACGTATTAGAGTTAGCTTATAATTTAGCCGTCAAAAATGGGTATGAACATTATTTTAATAACCAGAGAAAGGCCGCTGGAAAAGATTGGTGAAAGGACTTTCACAGAAAAAATCCAGATATAACACTGCGTAAGCCCGAAGCCGCATCTGCAGCAAGGCTTTTAATAAACCTCAAGTAGCGAAGTTTTTTAAAGTGTTAGAGGACACTTTGATAAAGGAAAATATTGATCCCATGAAGACATATAATGCAGATAAATCTGCATTATTGACCGTACAACGCAGAAAGTGTGCTACAGCTGATCGCAAACAAGTAGGTGCAATTACCAGCGCCGAACGAGGTTCCCACGTGACAGTTGTCTGTTGTATGTACATTAACGGGAGCTATATTCCACCTACTCTAATATTTCCACGAAAAAATATGAAAAAGGAATTACCTGAACATACATCAGCAGAAACTTTATGTATTATCCAGGAGACTGGCTGGAGGTTTTGTTAATTGTGGATGGACATTTAAGTCATAAATATCTTGACACCCTTCTGTACGCCAAAGAAAATGGCATTGTACTTTTATGTTTGTTGGCTCGCTGTACACATAGGATGCAGGCTCTCGATGTAGCATTCTTTGGTCCACTTAAAACCTATTATGACCAAGAAATAATCAAATGGCTCATCCTGGTCAAGTCGTGACTCAGTTCCAAATTGGTGGTCTGTTAAATAAAAAGCCTATTTAAAAGTAGCTAATGCCCAGAATGCTGCTCATTGATTTTCCAAAACTGGTATCTACCCAATTAACCCCGATGTATTCACCGACTGCATGTTTCAAGCGTCTGAAACTTTGTACTACAAATTTTGTAGTAGTGTCAAACCTGCTGTAAACGTTTATTGTAATAATAAATAACCTGGACCTTCCTCATTTATATACGTTTGGCTAACAGTTTATATTTTCTCCTACTTTGTAAAAAACTTGTCGACGTGTTTCAAATGCTTTAGTTTGTGTTCTATCCAAGTTTTGTTAAAAAAATGTTTTCTGTTTTTCATTCATGTCATTTTTTATACCCTTCCCCTACAATTATACATTAGTAGGTATTATAGAACTTCTCTTGTATTAAGATGTGGTCTATTTGGTTAGTTCCATTTGATGTCGGAATTTCCCTTGTCCCTTTATATAATATTCTTTTTTCTGAATATGCGTACTTATTATTTTCATCCTGTTTTCAATTGCGAATGTAATCAATCTTTTGCCATTATCATTTGTATTCATATGTTTAGTTTCGTCCGCAATCAATATTAGGACGAACTGCATGTCTGTCATTAATAGTATTGTACAAACTTATACAAAGAACTTAATTTCATTTTTTTTCTCAAACCTAATCTGTAGCCATAACACAAAATATTGTTAAAAGAATTGGAAGTAAATATTCTGGAAGATATTTATACATAAATTTACAGTGGCACGTAAATTTGTTACAAATATCAAAGAGCAATATCATTTTCTTGGTAACTAAGACATAAGTTTAAAATATTAGGTTTTATAGCACGTAAAGTTAATAATATAAGTGCGTTACTTTCATTTTATGGCATTTTAAACATTTTTTGCAGTGGTGCATTATGAGTAATATTATCCAAAAAATAATAACTTTCACGCTTATCCGTTAATACAGGATGACTCATAGCTTAATGAATTTAAAAATTTTATGTCTTATAAAATGAGTAGGTATAATTATAATTTACTGAAATTTTTGTCGTATTTATTTCAAGCCACTCTAAATCCAGTGGTATAGAAATTTATTATTAAAAAATTGCTACTAAACATATAATAACAAAATATATAGATAAAAAAAGTAATATTTTTAAATCACGCTTTAATCCAAATATATAAAATATTGAAATAGTTAATAAAGTACCTACTCCAAAATATGTAAAAAGCATATAATCGGACCTCTGGTCCTGACACTAAAAATATTCTTTTATTTAAAAAATTTATTAAAAATCCTTTTTAAAAGGAAAAGGAAAAAGGGAATATATTTAAAAACTCAAACGGGTTAAGTTAGACAGACAAACGGAAACCATATTCCATCATCAGTGTCTAGGAGTACATGAATGCAGCCGCTAAATATATGGGTAAAAATGTGGCTCCCATACAGTCTTCGTAGACACACCGTCTCAGGACTAGCAACTTCAACGTGGAGTCATATGTCGCCATGTTACCTAATCCAACGGTAACTTTAACATCTTAAATCATGATAAGAAATTTTGTAAACTAAATGTAATCAATTATTTGTTAACGGGTTTTTACCCATATATTTAGTGGCTACATTCATGTACTCCTAGACACTGATGATGGAATATGGATTCCGAAAACGTTTTGTCTGTCTAACTTAGCCCGTTTGGGTTTTTAAATATATACCTTTTTTACAAAGGATTTTTAATAATTTTTTTAATATACGATATACAGCCAACTACAGGAACGTAGATTCCTTGTGGATTCTTTTATTTAGTTATTAAGTTTGCTGTTTTTTACGCGTTCATTAGAGCTTTTTTTATATTGTCTTTTTCTAGGAAATTGAGTCATTGTCCGAATTTTCTTTCTTAAAGCCAAATTCAGGAACATTTGTTAATAAAGTACCTGATGCTTTTACGATTTTCTCCGCTCAGGGCGATATCATTGTACCAGGACAGAGACCAGAAGAGTAAGTATCTTTTATTACTTGTACATAACCAATTTTTTATGTAAAAAAACTTTCTGGAGTGTTTTTAACGGAAACAATCGGTTTTTCTACTCTAAATTAACACCATGGCCTAAAATCCGTTTTTGAAGTTTTGTTATTCCTCTCAATTTAAAACAATTTAATTAAAGGTGTACCAAAATACTATAATAATTATTGATTTAAACACATAAGTAATTACGGAAAAAGTCAATCTAAGACCGATATAATTATTAAATTTGTTTTGACAGGTATCTTATAGTTGTCTAATAAAATAAAGTAAAATTTTATTGGTATTATAGAGCGCCTAATACAGTACTCCAAAAAACAGAAACTTTGCAAAATACATACTTATTTTTTCGTTAGACTAAACAATCTGAAATTTTAACATACGATCGCGTCATTACACTTCATTCTCTATTTATAAAGTTGCTGTGTGCTGTAATGATATGAAAATTTCCTTGTGTTTATTTATCTTATATTCCATACATGATTTAAGCTCATGGACGTATTTTATACGTCTATGGTTAAGCTAAACTGTTATCATGTGAATGAGTATATAAAATAGTAGTGAGTGCATTTTTTTGTTTATTTGAGTAAATTCTCAAAATATGTATTAAGGAGTACACTAACTATTAAAAAATTAATAGCTTTGTTAGAAGAAGGCTTAGATTGTGAAAATGCTGACTCACTTGATGTGGTTTATGTGCCGCCGGAATCAGATGAAAGTTTCGATGTAGAAGACATCGATGAAAATTTTATTTGTGAGAAAGGAATAAAATCAGATATTGCAATTACATAGGAAATACAAGTGAATGGGAAGTCTGACAATTCTGATTATATTTCTCTGAACAATAGATTAAAACGTTCAAAGAAAAAACCAGCAAAAATAGTAAATCCAAATTTGTCTCAAGTGATACAAAACAGATACTCCTTGGTACTCAGCAGTTATTCAACATCAGTCTGATATTTAGACAATATAAAAGCCAACCAAGGAGGCAAATCATATATTTAAGTTTTTTCACTCTTTTTTTTTATAAATAAGTAATTGACAGCCTATATTTTACAAATATTTATGCATCGCAGAAGGACCGTCACGATTTTGGTGTTATTATATTGTTAATATATATGTTAATATGTATTCGCCGAAGGATGAGGATAAAGGAGTGCATATTATAAGAGAAAGCAGGAGCCGACATAGATTTCGTTCAATCGAGCATGAAAAAAAAAGAGAATAGTGAAGAAACCGCTACATCAGTATCAAACTTAGTACATGGACGTCAAATCTAAATTTGCTTTACCAGATGAAACTAGATTTGACAACATTGGCCACATTATAAAAAGAGGCGATACTAGTGCAAGAAAAAAATGTCGAATGTGCAAAAATAATATTATTTATTTATGTAAAAGGTTTAAAGTGCATCTAGACCCTGAATGTTTGAAAAATTTTCGTCTTAAAATTTAATTTACATTTAAGATACAATATCTTTACCGTTGAGATAGACAGTCGTATATCCATAATGTATACATTTGCAAGAAAGCGCAAAACATACAGACTAGTCAATAAACTATAAAAAAATTGTACTTTACCATTACGTCGAATTCAACATTATTTCTATAATTACTATTTAAATGGGAATACCATGGGAACGTTTCAATTACCACTTCGGAAATCGTTCTTTCGATTTCCGAAGTGGAGCAAATCCCTCAAGCAGACTTTGCTGCCTTGAGCCGAAGTATGTCTGATCGAACGAGAGCTGTAATTAGAGCTCGTGGAGGAGGCAATACACTCTACTAAATACTGTTTTCCATAAAAATTGTTTATATTAAAATAAAAATAATTTTTGTTTCTTTACAGATTTTCAAATTTTTTAATTGTTTATTTTTTTTCTGTATAACATTCTTGAGCTGTAATGAATTTGACTTTTAAATTTTGTCTATTATTAAATGCTTAATTGGGAACATCTTAAACTCTTTTAAACGCCAGTTTTTAGGAAAAATCTGAGTGTCTGGTTAATGTTGCAAGCCAGTGTATAAAAAATATTTTTGCTCATAGTTCACATGTTAAAAAACTAATCTTGTCATTATAGGTTTACGTCGTACTACAAAGAACAGTTACCATTGAATCAATTTAAAATACCACGTGAACTAGAAAGCACATTCAAAGAAGTACTAACTAAATATCCAGAATTTGGATTGAGAGTACCTGTACGTTACAAAACATTTAGCAACATATTGGAGATTACCCCAGGCATTGACCAAGATAACTATTTTACCAAGCTTGAAAAACTATTACACATAGAAGAAAATCAGTTAAGAATAGACATCAGAAATTACGACACCTTGTCTACTTTGAAGGTTGTCAAAGGAAAATCCTTGTATGAACTAGAGGTAAGTTTTCTGTGGCTTGATGGTTCAACAGTTGTTTATACAGGGTATTGATTAATATATAATAATAATTGGGAATATATAAACTGTAGATTCGTGGCCTAAAAAAATTAAAGTTTAACCCAAATCTTCTTCTTTTTCTTCCTCTTCGTCTTTTTAAATAATTGTGCTTGTTCATTGTCGGATTAATACCTCTATTTCTTCTGCCGATTGGTGACTTCTTGACTTCATATCAGTTTTAATGTGTCTGTTTCGCCATATAGTGTTATTAAGGCATCCTGCCGGTCTATTTGCTTTTTGTACTTGATCTCTCACTTCTTTGTCCAGGTCTCCTAGGCAGTGTAATTCCCAGGTATTTTATTTCCATTACTTGTTCAATGCTGTTGCCATCAATTTCTATTTTACATCTGGTTGGGTCTTTGTTAACTACTATTGTTTTAGTTTTCTGAGATAAGATAGTCATATTAAATTCTTTGGCTTTTATGTTAAATCTGTGGACCAGACTTTGTAGACTATCTTAATCTTAGGCTATCAATATTGCTTCGTCTGCGTAACAGAGTATTTTTATATATTTGCTTCCCATTCTGTATCCTCTTCCTGTGTTAACGTTTTTGATGATTTCATCCATGATCAAATTAAAGAACATGGGGTTCAATGAATCTCCTTGTCTTATTCCGCTTCCTATTTCTATAGGTTCTGTAAAATGTCCACCTATTTTGACTTCCATTTTGTTGTTTTGGTAGTTGTTTTCGATAGTTTTTATAATATTTAAGGGAATTTCTGTATTATACAGAAGATAGATTACATCTTTGAGTCTTAATTTGTGTAACACTTTCTTTAGGTCAATTAGACACAGAAATGCTGGTCTAATATACTCTAGTGATTTATCAGTAATTTGCTTTATAACGAATATTGCATCTGTACACGATCTTCCATTACGAAACCCCTGTTGTTCATCTGGTAAACTTATCCTATGATTTATTAGCACTTGTAATTTACCTATGATTTATTAGCACTTTTAATCGTAAGTTTTAGCGTAGAATTTAACAAGTTTACACCTTTGTAGTTGTCTTGCTGTTTTTATCTCCTTTTTTTTTAATAGTAGAATTAGTTCGCTCGTTCTACATTCTTTCGGTATTTTATTATTGTGTTAATTGTTTCGTCATTGCTACTTCACAATATTTCAGTAATTCTTTTGGTATCCCCTATTTACCTGCTGCTTTTCTGTTCTTCAGGTTTTCAAGTATTTTCGAACTTCCTGTACATTTATATTAACTTCTTTATTTGTGGTAATTTCTGGTGTTTCCGGTTCTAGCGTCGTTTGTTCTTTTGCATTTAGCTTTTTTAGATAGTCAATCCACGTATCCTTTTCTATGTGTTGCTGTTGTCTCTATAATTTGTTGAAATACAAATGAATTACATATTTCAGAAACCCCATAATTCCATTTTTATAAAATGTTGAGTAATTAGAAAAAAAAACTTATTTCATAAAATATTTTAAAAAACCTGTTGTGCTTTTATAATAAAATCATGAGATTAATGTTTTAATCAGTTTTCATAAAAAAAGTGGTGAATTTTAGCTTTAGGTATATGTTTTTTTTTACTTCTGTGGATTCTAGGGGGTTTAGAAATATACACATTTTTCAAGGATGTAAAAATAAGAAAACATGTTATAAACATTTTTTATTCGAAAATATGGGCATACAGAATAATATATTAGTATTAATCACTCATCTGGTTGTATTATTTCATTTTATTTCTTGATATTATACTAAAACAATTTTTAATTGAAGGTGATTACTTGGCAACATCGTACTTAACGAAGCCCTTAACGATAACTTTTCAACGAAATCACATTGAAATTATCAATTTTGCAGAGGCGTACCAAAAAAAATTTTAATTATTTATTTAAACATATAAGTCATTACGTAAAAATTAAATCTTAAGACCGATTTAATTATTAAATTACCATGTCTCTTTTACCAGGTATCTTATAGTTGTCTAACAAAATAAAATAAAATTTTATTCTTATTAGAGGGTATCTAATACAGAAATTCAAAAAACAGAAAACTTTGGAAAATATTTTTTTTTTTTCATTAGACTAAAAACAATCTGCAATTTTAATTACACATCATTCTCTGTGTGCTGTAAACGTTATATTTGTTTTTTTTTTAACTTAATTTGAAAGTTTGCTTGTGTTTATTTGTTTATATAAATATGAAAATATATTATAAAGTTCATATAAATTAAAATGAAGTAAGCTAAACTATTATCATATGAATGCGTTTCTATAGCAGTGCATTTATTTATTTCAGTAAATTCTCGAAATATGAAATGAAGATGGCACTAACTACTAAAGAGTTAATAGCTTTGTTAGAAGAAGACTCAGATTGTGAAAATGCCACTTAATGTAGTTTATTTGCCGCCGAGATTAGATTAGAAAGTTTCTGATGTAGAAGACATTGATCTTCTTCTTCTTGTTCCTTCTAGTTTGTAGGCTTTAAAGCCTGTTTCTTCTCAATATTAGCTTTCTAAATTGTTTAAATTGTCGCACCATCTTTTTCTTGGTCTGCCAATACTTCTTCGTCCATTTGGTGACTTATCTCGTGCTATTCGTACTATTCTATCCTCCGCCATTCTACTGATGTGTTTGTTCAACTTTTGTTTTCGTTTTGTCACCCATCCCATCGTTATGTCTTCTATATTGCATGCTCTTCTTATGTTTTAGCTTCTCTCCCTATCCAACAGACTTCTCCTTGATATTCGTCGGAATATTTTCATCTTTGTTGTTTCTAGCAGTCGTCTCGTTTTAGATGTGTCAGGTCTTGTCTCAGCCGTGTATGTTAATATAGGTCTAATTCCTGCTTTATAGACTTGTTTTTGTGTCTTGTCTTAGGTGTTTGTTCTTCCAGATTGTGTCATTAAGAGAACCCGTCGCTTTACTTGCTTTTAAGCTTCGCTGTCGTACTTCTTCAACATCTCCATAACTAGTTATATCTATTCCCAGATATCTGAACCTTGCTTCCGGCTTTATTATTTTCCCATAAATTTCGATTTCATATCGTAGTGGGTATTTAAATGTCATACATTTGGATTTTTCCGCCGATATTATCATATTGTATTTCTTAGCTGTTGTATTGAAGATATGTGTTAATCTTTAGAGCTCGTCTTCTGTCTCGACGATTAATGCGGCGTCGTCTGCATAACATAATATTTGGATTTCTTTTGTTCCCAATTCTATAGCCATGACTTTTACGTACTGCTTGTATTATTTCGTCCATTAATATATTAAAGAGAAGTGGGCGTCACGAGTCACCCTGTCTGACTCCGCTTTGTACTGGTATACACTGTGTTAGTTTTCCATTTATCTTTGAATGTATTCGATTATGGAGGTAGATGCTTTCGATGGTTTGTATAATATTGATTGGTATGTTCCTTTTATACAGTAGGTGTAAGACGTCTTCGACTTGGATGCGATCGAAAGCCTTTGTCAGTTCTATAAAACCTGATAAAGTTGTTAGTTTATTGATTTTTTTGGTTAGGACTTTTGTTGTAAGCTTAAGTGCGGTGTTCAGTAGATTTATACCTCTATAATTGTTGGGGTCTTCTTTATCTCCTTTCTTGACCATTGGTATCATTATGCTGTTTCTCCATTCGTCTGGTATCTTGCAGTGCAATATTAGTTTTTGTAGTAAGTTTTGTCATCTCTAGGGTTAAACTTTCTCATGCGTATTTTAGAAGCTCGTTGGTTATTCCGTCTGGTCCTGGTGACTTTCTATTTTTGAGTGAATTTTTGACTATTTCTACTTCGTGAAAACTGATTTCTATTTCGTCTCTTAGTTCAGGTACGTTATTGTGTTGATTATTATTTTCCTTTGGTTTAAACAGTTCCATCAAGTATTTTTCCCATTCGTTTGCTGGTATATTATTGTATTCCTTGAAGAGATTGATGATAATATTATTTGTGAAGAATCAATAAAATCGGATATTGCAGGTACATATGAAATACAAGTGATTGGGAATTCTAACGATTCTTGTTATGATATTCCTCTGAACCACACATAAAACGTCCAAAGAAAAAACCAGGCAAAAATAGTAAATCCAAATTTATCTCAAGTTGTAATAACGGATATTCTTTCGTGCTCAGTAGTAATTCAACATCAGTCTGATGATATTTAGACATTATAAAATCCAACCATGTGGGAAAGTCATATATTGAAGTTTTTTCACTCTTTTTGATAAAAAAGTAATTGAGAATAACCGTCAAAATTTTGAAATGAATAACATAGATTTAAAAAAATTATTAGCAAATGTATACTATCTGGTTTACAGTCTGCTTCAAGTTGATATGCATTGGTCAAAGGATGAGGATAAAGAAGTGCATATTATAAGAGAAAGCATGAGCCGACATAGATTTATAATTTTAGTTTATAAAAGTGAAGAAACCGCCAGCTACATCAGTGTCAGTACATAGGCGTCAATCTAAATTTGCTTTACCAGATGAAACCAGATTCGACAATATTGGCCACATTATAAAAAGAGACAATAGTGCAAAAATGTAGGATGTACAAAAGTAATACTATTTATTTATGTAAAAAGTGTAGAATGCATCTACACCCCGAATATTTCGAAAATTTTTACCTTAAATTTAATTAACGTTTAAGATACAATATGTTCCTTTGTTAAAAATTGTACTGTTTTCCTTAAAAATGAGAAAAAAATCGTTTTGGTTGTAGTTTATTCCTAATTTATGTTTTTAATCCAATCTAATAAATTAATTGTCAAATTTCTCTTTGTATATTGAGCAGTCGTTAAGGGTTTGATACTATATAAAGAATAAACTGGTCTCAAATTTACTTTACTTACCTCAAAACTATTTTAAAGTATATTTAATAAATATATTCCCAATGATACATTACACCTATGCACATATGTATAAAATCTGGAAGATATCATATTTCATAAACTCCAATAAACTAAGATATCATATTTCTCTAATTAACATTCTTTCTAAAAAGGTAAATATATATAGACCAGCAAAATATTGATAATTTTATCGATGTTCCAAACTATTCTATGAACTTGTCTTACTATACACTCGTGAATCGCACCAATTTATATTGTTACGGGGGCAAATTTATCTTACATGGGTTACAAATTTTGTTTGTTTGTGTTTAAATGACTGCGGACACTAAATCCATTCGCCAATCTTACAATTTGAGGTGTAGTGTGTGTGTGTGTGTGTGTGTGTGTGTGTGTGTGTGTGTGTGTGTGTGTGTGTGTGTGTGTGTAGAGTAATTGTCTTGATACTTAGCAAAGTCGACGTCATTGTCTTTGCTAAGAGACGCTAATTGTATCCGAACGTCTGCGGTCCCTCCGGTGTGTACCGATCACACAAGGATAGAAATTATTTTCATTTATTAATTTTTTTAATAAACGAAAATTTCCACCCAGGTGGGATTCGAACTCACGACCTTTAGGTTTAAAGGCAGGCGCTCTTACCACTGAGCCACAGAGGGGGTTGTTATAAATTTACATATTTACATGGGCGAAGCATACACAATAAAAATGACCCCGGTAAGAATTTACTAATGAAATTTTTCATGGTTGCCGCTACCGTTTAGTTCAATTTGTAGATTAGTCACCTTTAATTGAAAATTGTCCGACTATAATAGGAATATTTCCTTCGGTCTATGTTCTTGTAGGGAAACTAATAACATCCTTGTTGCTATTTCGTAGCCGAAAAAAATGATCTATTAAGCCATCTATATACTCTTTTGTAATAACAATTCCATCGTGATCATTAGAACGACTATATATATATATATATATATATATATATATATATATATATATATATAATATATATATATAATATATATATATATATATATATCCGGTATATTAGGCGTCACTCCCTTCCGGTAGGGATCTATGGAGGAGTATCACCGAGACGCAAGTCCTTATCTCTTGCCGTACTGCTCCGCCATAGGCCGATCAGACACCAGCGTATTCTAGTCTAAGCCGCAGATTCATCTAGAATTGTAAACTGCTGTGTTAGACTTTTTGTTTTCGGTACACCGAGCTGGGAACCGAACCCACATCCACTGAACCACTCGAATGAGAAGCCGGCCGCCCATCCCGCTTGGCTATCTGACCGACAAATGGTTTTAAGTTTGTTGTAAAATTTGTTTGCCCGTTTCCTATGAACAGTTTTTTCTGTCAGTGGCACTCTTTTTGCTGTTTCATTTAAGAATTTACTTTTTATTTTAGTTTCTAACTCTTCACATGTAAAGTAGGTGTCGACTTGTGGGCGACCAAAAGATAATGAAAATTGTTCTTTAAAAATCTTTTTATAATATGAATATTTAACGTTTTGTTCTGGGTGAACCTCTTTAAACAACTTAAACATTATAAAAATATTTCATTTTTCATTTAGATTCCTATATTCTCTACTAGTATAATGGACAGTTTTGACCGGAAACGAAGCAATATGTTGTATGATTGAATCCATAACAAGTCCTGACTTCGCATTGCCAGATTGATTTTTACCTCGTTTATCTATAGGAACTTGCTCCTCTCGTCTTCACGAGGTTAAGCAACGCAACCGATCATTGCTAATGCCAAAAATGACAATAAGTGCTTTTCTACAGATTTTATTTGTACCTGTTGATACCTGAATTGTATATTCAAAAGAAGCTAGTCTATCAGGCTTGCAAGAAATATCAGCTGGTTTTATGCGCCTTAGGCGTGCAATTCATGGACTGAAACAATGAGCTAATAACGCTTATACCTCTGTAATTTTTGGATTTCTTTTTATCTCATTAATATGGATATATGCCAATCTCCAATCTTCTTAAATATTTTCTTGTTCAATTAAATATTTAATAAAGATAACCTCTAACAGTTCTATTGGTATTGACGGTACGAGCTTTAATAATTCAATGGGGATGTTTCCAGGTCTAATGGCTTTCTCGCTTTTATTTGCTTTATGGTTCGTCCTATCTCGTCCACAATGATTGGTTATAGTTCGTCTTCCTCTATTGGATCTGTTTTGAAATCTGTGTAATTTATTTCGCAATGTGGTCTTGCTTTCGTAAATAGGGATTTGTAATATTCTGTCCATTCTGACATAATGGGGTTTGATCTCCCTTCGGGGTTTTTGCTTACTACATAAGTTGTAATCGAAACAGCAAAGCAAAACTTACCTTTTCACTCTTTTCAGTCGTAAAAATTCCTCATCTGAAGAATTCTCATTTTCTTCTTCTTCAGAAAGAATTTCGTTGTTTAAATTGTTGCAAAAGTGTCTTTTCGTAATGATCATTCATTTTGTATTAAAATACTTAACTCACTGACAATAAATAACATAACTCACTGACTCTGAATTAAGCATAAAAAGCAGGTTGAGACTTGGAACGAGACCACAAAAGACATATCAGCCTCTAAGAACTATGCACTCTGAGAACTAATTAGGTTTATAAAAAAGGAATTTTTCCAAACGAAAAAATTTATACAAAGTATCCTATTTGGGCGGTGTAAGTGTTAACATCGGTCAGATAGCTCAGCGGGCTGTGCGGCTGCCTCTCATTCGCTTCACTGTCGAATGGTTCAGTGGATGTGGGATCGAGCCCCAGCTCGGTGTACAGAAAACAAAAAGTCTAACGCAGCAGTTTAAAATTCTAGATGAATCTGCGGCTTAGACTAGAATATGCTGGGATCTGATCGGCCTATGGTGGAGCAGTACGGCAAGAGATAAGTGCTTGCGGCTCGGTGATACTCCTTCATAGATTAATTTCTTTTCTTAATGTCAATATTATCTGTTGTCTTATTCTTCAGTATTTGGTATTTGATTTTTGAATTAGAATAGTATGTCAATATTTGATTACTGACTATATTATTATACACTAAGTGACTTATAATATTTTATTGTTTAGGTTCCTGGATTGGCCGAAGCTAGGCCGTCCCTTTTACGAAATGACAAAGTATATTTAAAAGAGAAGAAGTCTGATTCTGTTAAGTATGAAGGATGTATTCACGTAGTACTTGAAAAAAGCGTGTATATAGGATTAAATCATAGGTAAGAATTATTTTAATAATGATCTATCACGAAATAAGTATGCACTCACGAATGTGTTTTTAAACCGCTGACAACGATTCAATATCCTACTTCTTATCGGTACGTTAATGCTGGCATATTGAAACTATTAGATTTCCCTTAATATTTCAAAAGTGTTTAGACTAAAAGTTGCTCATACCTAATATTATTAAAGACTTTTTGATAGTCAATGAGTAGACCGTTTTGTAGAGAAGCAGTTTTGAAGAAAAGCTGCTTTATATATTCTTTGTAATCCATTCGAGAAGATACAAAAAAATGTTTTGTATATTCTCGAATGGATTATCCTGCCTTAAGAGCGTGGCTCATTAAACTGATTAGTCTATAGGCTTCACAAACTTTGACAGTTCTGAGTCGTACATTAGAATAAAAAGATACCTAAGTTGACTGATATCGAACTATTTTAAAATTTCTGCGTAAACTTCATCAAGGACTGAACTTTTTCCGCCTTTAATTGATTTACTGCATATCTAAGTTTACTCAATTGAAAGATTTTTGGATCACTCATATATCTCTGGGTTCACTATCGGCCGTGTATGGGTGTCTTGTAAGAAAGGTAAAACTGGTTTTCTGTTAGTCCTGTTATTTGTTTGACCTTTTTATGAAAACTAACTAAATCGTGCAGTTGGTCTTTTTGCTTTGTCGCATCGTTCTTGCATTTATTTCTCTTTAGCTTCTCTTACTGCAGCATTTAGTATTTTATATTCCATGTTAATTTTGAACAAGACGACGTTAATTTATCCATAAGTCCAGAATCTCATCCTTTATCTGTGTTTTATCTTTTCCCGCGTTGTTGTTCGAGGACATTTTAGTGGCTGTTTTTAGGACACTTTTAAGCGTATTTTAAGCGTATATTGAATGTATTTTTTTGCCTGGGATTTCTTTCCTGCAAAAGTTGACTATTTTTGCCTTCATTTTCGACTGTATTAATGATCATCTCATCATCATCATCAACCTGTATGCGACCACAGCTGGACATAGGTCTCCCACAGATCTTTCCGTCTGTCTCTGTCTTTTGCGGCTTGCATCCAGTTATTGCTAACACACTTCACGTCGTCAGTCCATCTAGTTGGTGAACGTCCTCTGCTCCGTAGTGCTTCTTGTCTAAGTCTCCACTTGACAATACGTTTTGTCCATCAGTTGTCTGATAGTCTGGCGACGCGACGTGTCCTGACCAATTCCATTTAAGCGACGCGATTTCTTTTTGTGTGTGGTAATGTTTCCGCTCCATAAGTAAGTAAAGGCAACACATATTCGTCAAAGATTTTTCTTTTGAGGCATATGGGTAGGTTCGATTTAAATACATCGTTTAATTTACCAACGCTGCCCAGGCTAATCCTATGTTACGTAGCAGCTCACTTGTCTGGTTATCCCTGCCCAACCGAATTTCATGTACTAAGTACTTAACCGATGCAGTCTGCACAATATCCCTTCAGATGTGCTTTCTTACAAGTATGTTCTAAAAGCGTCGCGAATAGGTTTGGAGATACGGTATCTCCTTACCGTACTCCTCGCTGAATACAGAATTTATTTGTTTCTTGTTCAGATAGTCTCACGCTAGCTGTGTTCATTTTGGTAGATATATTTGATTTTGTTACTGCAGCGATGGTCTATTCGGCTTTCTGTCAATGCTTTTAGCATTTTTTGATGGCTTATGGTATCGAATGCTTCCTCGTAGTCCACAAATATCAATGCCAACGGTTTGTTGAATCCCGATCTAAATCCAGCTTGATCTCTAGGCTGATAGAGGTCTTAACTTAGCGTCCAGTCTTTTTTTGATAATTTTTGTGAAAAGTTTATATATATATATATATATATATATATATATATATATATATATATATATATATATATGTGAAAGCAAACTGATAGAACGGTAGTTTTTTTTTAAGATCTGTTATGTCTCCTTGCCTGTGTAATAAAATAATGACTGCATTGTTCCATTAAGAAGGAGGTTTTCCTTGGTAGATGCATTCGCTGAAAAGCTTGACCAAAGCCTGGATAATTTTATTTTCACCTATAATAGTTTAATCGCTTCGATTATTACTCCGTCATCCCCAGGGGATTTCTTATTTTTCATTTCTAAAAGTGCCGTTTTGATTTTGTATGGAGTAATATTTATTTATTTGTTCCACAACAAACACATTTTACAGAATAACATAATGATTTCGCACACTTTCTATCGATATCTTTCAATTTTGTTTCAGATTTTTTAATAGTTATTAATAAGTTCAGTCTTTTTGTAAAAGATTTTTCAAACTATTCGTTAGGCTTCACATAGTTAGTGTTCCATCTCTTTGGTAAATCATGTCGAGTATTGTCTTTTTATACTTCTTAACTGAAAATCGAATAGTTTCTTGTATATTTGTATTTTTAGTGGTTATTAATTATTTTATTTCTACAGTATTTAGGCGATACAATGAAGTAATACACTTACCAAATTTTTGCAGTTTCATGGATGCCAATCAAACTTACTGCATTCATTTCGTAGGAGTGTCAGGAAATTTTGTAAACAAAAATGATGATGTGAAAATGAAAATTGCATTATTCAAAAAATGAAAATGCATTTTCCAATGTGGATTTGGAAGTGATAAAAAATAAAAAAATTATAATTTCAAAGTAATTGACGGAAATGAGTTCAAGATTACTACTCGAAAGTTTTTGGGGTCACTGAACACGAATATCATGACGGTGATAATCTTTGAAGCATGTGGGGCACCTGTGCCTCGTCTCCTAGAGTTTTATCAAAATCGGACGCAAATCAGTGCAAACTAGTTACTCATGGGTTTTTGGAATCGCTGAACACTAATATGTCGGCGATGGTGTGTGAGGCATCTGGTGCTTAGGATGGGCCTCGTCTTCTAGAGTTTATGCATCGAAGTGTATTGGAGACTGATTGTGTATCGAATTTTCACAAGTAGTAATACTAAACTCATTTCCGTCAAGTTTTATTTCCACATCATCATTTTTATCAACAAAATTTCCTGATATTCTTACGAATCGAATGCAACAGGTTTCATTGAGATCAATTCAACAAAAATGTGGTAGGTTTTGGTCTTTTTACTGCTTCATTGTCTTGCCTAATTATAGGTCCGATATGGAAATCATTAGTCTTAAGAAAGACAGTTTGTGGTATCTTTACTGGTGATTGATCATGCAGTGTATATTTTTTTGTAACAATTTTACAAAAAAATTCACGACAGCGCTGAAAGAATAAACCAGATAACCCATCCGGAAGGCGATAGATATTTTAAAAATTTTATGGCCTGCGTATCAAATATGTATTTATATAGGCATAAATTGAAAAATTTAACTCTATTCTCTAAAGTACTGTTAATATAAATAAGCAGAACTTAAGAAGGGCTCACATTTATTTCATGTCTGCCTCCCCTTAAAAAATAATTGTTTAGGTAGATCCATATTGTTTCTTTTTGGTGTAGTTTAATTCTATTTTTATTATTTGAATATTTCAATAATATTATTATTTTGAGGAATTTTAATATTATTTACTATCTTTAATGAGAATTAAGTGACCACAACCTTATTTTAGCAGACATGAAACTCATACCAAAGAAAATAAAAACAACCACCAAAACACCTACAGTTAATCTAAGAAGACTAAAAGATGCTGATCTCCGTCAATAGATCAAAGAATAAATACACAAGTCCAGAAAGTGAAAAGATAAGGACAACTTAACGCTACAGAAAAATGGAGAGAGTTAGGGAAGATCCTGAAGAACATCATACAACAACAACTAGAGCATATATACATCCCCTAAAAGCAAACAATGGATAACACAAGAAATAAAATTAATATCGGAAAGGAGGAAATACAAGAATAAAAACGAACAATAATATAAAAACGTAAATAAAACAATCAAACAAAGAAGCAATTGTGGCTATCAGAAAAATGTACAGAAATAGAAAGATTAGAAAAACAACGTGACAGCTTTTTAACATATACAGGAAAATTTAAGAAAAAGCTGGCATATACAAAAAAAAGAGGTATTGAATACACAATGAACAAAACCAACAAAATAATAATTAAAAGTGCAGATATAATAAATACATGAGAAGAATATATAAAAGCTGTTTGAAGTCGACGAAATAATGGGGACAATAGAAACAAGAGGTAGAAATTTCCAAAGGGGAAATTGAAGCAGCACTAAAACATAAAAAATGATAAAGCCATGGGATCGGATAAAATACCTACATAAATATTAGGACTGCGAACAGAGAACCACATTTATATACTAGTAGAATTATTCAATGACATTTACTATACCAGGGACGTTTTAAAAGAATGGCTAATACCTGAGTTGATCCCAATAATAAAAAAACTCAACGCACTGAAGTGTGAAGAATTTGGAACGATCAGCTTGATGAGCTATATTTTAAAGGCCTTCTTGCCAGTGATACATGAACACGTATACAAATACTAGACAATATAATAAGAGGAAACCAATTGGGACTTAAAAAAAGGCTCTGGCACTAGATATGAATTATTTACTATAAAAACACTCATTGAAAAGTGTCGATATATCAACTGTGACGTATTCATATGTCTAGTTAACTTTAAGAAAGCCTTCGACAAACTACAACGCAGAAGGCTTGCAAACATATAACGAGTAGATGAGCAGGATGTGAGAATCATTACAGATTTATACCAATATCAGAAAGCCATAATAGTAGACCAACAAAAATCTTAAGAAATACCTATAAGAAGAGGAGTACGACAAGGATGTGTACTATTCCCTCTACTTTTTAATATGTGCTTAGAATAAATATTTATAGAGGCACTAGAAGACATCAATAAATGCATATCGATTAACGGAATACTAGTGAATAATCTCGAGATATGCAGATGATACAATACCCCTTGCGTACAGCAGAGAATGGCTGCAAATTTTGGATGATCGCACCAAGCAGTACTGCGAGAGTTATGGAATGGCTTTGAACACAAAAAAGAAACAAAAATCATAATTGTCAGTAAGAACAAGATTGATAACGAAACACTGTACGTTAAAGAAAAAGCTTAATAGAAAATATGCAGATACAATTACTTGGGATGTAAGCTAAATGAACAATGGGTTCTCAGTCTTGAAATGAAGCGACGTATTGAGATAGCCAGAAGCGCTTTCAATAAGATGAAAGTAGTATTATGCAATATAAAACTGGAACTATAAATTAGAACTAGATTACTGAGATTCTACGTATTCTCTGTCCTTTTATATGGAGTTAAAGCTAGCTTTAAGATGTGAAAAATATGAGTTGATGCAATTGGTTGTACAAGGGAAAGTGGAAGAAAAAGAGGAACAAGAAGACGACGCACGTGCTAGTTGAAAAATTAAAACAATGGAGATGAAAAACAACAATAGAACTCTTCAGAACTGCTGCAGACAGTTAATTTAACTTACTTGAAATAACATTTCTCCAATAAAGTCATACCAGGAATGCACCTCAAAAATAATATGACAATATCATTTTAAAATCATCTACTTTATATGCCTGAATAATCAGTATAAATGTGACAAATAAAATAAGATTATTACAAGAATATTTTTGTATTACCAAGAAACAATTTCAGAATTTTTTAAATTTGTATTTCGAGAACGTTTTCAGAAGTAGATATCGACACGTCAAACTAAACAAATACATTTTAATATAAGGTTGAATGTTCGAATAATTAAACTTTGACGGTATACAAGGCAACTATCGAACACCGTGATTAATTTAATCTTGCCCAAGTACTTTCGATCAATAGATCATCTTCAGTGGCATTTCGTCAGTTGTGGCCTATCCGACATGAGTAGAATGTCATAAATGTAAATTTGGACATAACAATACAAAATACAATACACAAAGACAAACACTTTAAAAAAATTTTTTTTTTTTTTAAAGAAGAAGCTACATGTTGTATAGAAGCCGGAGACAGAATTCTGTCTCCGGCTTCTATATAACATGTAGCTTCTCCTTTTCAAAAAATTTTTTAAAGTGTTTGTTTGTCTTTGTGTATTGTATTTTGTATTGTTATGTCCAAATTTACATTTATGACATTCTACTCATAACGGATAGGCCACAACTGACGAAATGCCCCTGAAGATGATCTATTGATCGAAAGTACTTGGGCAAGATTAAATTAATCACCGTGTTTGATAGTTGCCTTGTATACCGTCAAAATACATTTTAAACTGGAATTTTGGGTAACTCCTATTAAAGATAGTAAATTGAATATTTTGTTTATTGCTGTTTTAGTTTTTTATTGTTAATTTAGTTTTAGTTGTTAACTAGTGTTAGTTAGTAATACTTATATTTATATTAATTACATATATTATCCCATATTATGTTTGTAGGTTCAACAAAATATTTATTCCCAACAAAAAATTTCATATCGAATTTGGTTTTAACAGAAGGCCAATACGAGTTGAGAAACAAGCTCTATTTCTAGCTCATAAACATGGAATTATTCCAACGTTATATCCAAAGGAAATTGGGATTGGGCTATTATCTAAAGTCAATATGTAAGTATATATACATAACTTGCTATAATATTGACTCTATGGTTTTCTTGCTACGGTTACTTTAGTATTTACAAATTATAAAATTACCTCGTGTATATTATTGATGGTTTGATATATTTTTAAATGATGACATCGAATATCGATGAGGCCGGCTGTCTGATAACTACTTAGCCTTACCGCCCAATGGCATCACTATTGTAAAAGAAATATATATATATATATATATATATATATATATATATATATATATATATATATATACATATATATATACATATATATATACATATATATATATATACATATATATATATATATATATATATATATATATATATATATATATATATGTATATATATATTTATATATATATATATATATATATATATATATATATATATATATATATATAAATTATGGAAAATTATCATTATTTCGAGAACCGTCGAGTTTTGAGGGAAATCCCGAACCAGGCCGATTTTTGTTATAAAATACCATCTTATAACGTACATGCACTAGGGATGACGTCACCGGTGTGGGTGTAGTGACATAACCGTTAATTTTTTTAAATAGAAATTGGTATAATGCAACACCTCATTTGAAGTAGAATTTAATTCTCTATTTAACCACATTACATTTTTAACTAAAATGATTTTTTAAGGATACAAAAACAATTTTTTTTAATTTAAATTCAACTAAATTACAACTTAATTAACCAGTAGGAAGACCATGAAAACGATGGAATGACAACTTACCGGAGCCAGTTGTTCGGTGCCGGAGCCACATTGAAAAACAGACATTCATGTCTATATAAAAGGAAGAAGAATAATAAATGTGAAAAACTAGCATTATACTTTATCCTTCATATAAACTATAAAATATCCGAGGCTTTTCAAAACGTAATAGTTACAATCCAATATCTCACTGTAATATTTTATTATAACAGTTTAAAGTTATGTCTAGATTTATTATCTATCATTAATTTTGAATTGAAATATTTTATAAATTTTATTTTACTAAAACACAAATAAATGTAGGGTAAACTGTGCAAATACTGGTCAGTGGGTAATGGCGGTCATCCCGATTGTGCGAAATCTATTCAATCTGGCAACCTCCTATAACTGCCAACGTGTCGCTACACTACTCTGTATTCAGATTGCTGATGAGCGTTGAGTTGGCGCAAACCATTGTCATAGAAATATTATTAACCTGTTTTCAGTGTTTTCGATCTTATTTTTATGCTGAGTAATATAAGGTCTTAATTCATTTTTATTCACTTGTAGATCTTAAAATTGGTTACAATTGATTATAATGACGTTAGCTGCCAATTCCTTTTTTAAAGATCAATATTTTAATACATGTTTACGAGTAAAAAATTCTAAGAAAAAAAATGCCAACAGGAGGCAATGCCGGTCAGTTGACCGGTATTACCCCCATGCTATAATTTATACCCTATACTATTAATCCTTAGGGATTAATCCATCCATTTTTCGACATTGCAAGAAAGAATAAAAAAATAAAAATCTTCAAGGTGTCTCATTAGGTAGAAAATCAGTATTTTCTGTCGAACAAGAAGCTAAAATAGCCACACAAAAAAATATTTAGCTTAATTTTTTATGGCATAACAGCAATATAACTGAGAAAATTAGCATTTGGGTTTACAAAATAATTTTTCTTGTAATAAAACACCTTTTTCTTGTAATTGGCATTACAAGAAAAAGGTGTTTGATTCTAGTTCTTTGGAATCGGATATTGATATATCATGTGATAACAGTGACGATGCATACGAAGATAGATGCCTGGTTTACAGCGAGTTTGGCAAAAACAATGAATTGTGGTATATATTTACCGTTTGCTCACGATGGGCTTATTCAGAGTGCAGTGGATGGGATTCTGCAGAGAGTTATACCTGCGATGACTGTCAACTATTTTTACATTAAAACACATATTTTTGTTATTTTTTGTTTGTTTTGTAATAAAAAATATTTTTTCACCTTTCTTACTGATATACTTGAATTATGACCCATTAAGCCACATTCGTTAATCGTTTTATAACAAAAAAATGTTAAATAGATATTGATTTTTATTTTAATAATAACACAAACAAATTGACTGGCATTACCCACACTCATGACCGGTATTGTCCATGTATGGTGACAATATCGGTCAAAGATACTTTTTTATGTTTTGTCTCTGTCAAAGACAAAAATTTTATATTTTTGAAATTAAATGTATCTTGCAATAATAATTCATAATCTCAGGTTCTTTGTAACTACCACATACTTAAGACTAATTTCCTCGGCCCCATTTTAAACCCAAAAAACTTCCTTTGTATCTCCGGTGCCTTGGACAATTTTGTCGACATTATCTGAAAAAGCTACTAATACTTTTATTGTTATTTAAATGTTAATTTATTTAATTTGTAAGGGCAATGTCCAACAGAACATTGAATGAAGAGCAAATACTTGCAGTTAAAAATATTGTCAAGCATAGAAACTACCCCTTTATAATTTTTGGTCCACCTGGAACTGGAAAAACTATAACAATTGTGGAATCAGTGTATCAGGTAAGTAAAAATGTTTAAATTTAGTAAATTATAATTATTTCTTAATATTATAAATATGTATTATTTCATAGAATTATTAATTTTTCTTCTTCATAAGGTGCCGTGCATTTCTGCGTAAACGTTCATGGTTGATTATCTCATCAGGTTAGATGATAGCAAGTTAGGCATAATTATTGATTCCCATTTGTTTAAATTTAAATATGGTTGTACAAATTAATCAATACATTTGTTCTCTATATCTGGCTACCTATAAGTTAAACAACGTGGAGAAAGTGTACAGTCTTGCTCATTCCCTTTTTTATTAAGAAATCTTTCATTTTCTTGAAGTTTTGATGCTCTCTGGTTTTAATACAGAATGCGCTAACTCTTATATCCTTAGTAGTTAATCGCAACTCTTAAATATATGTTATAAATAGTTTTTGGAATCTGTTCTTGTCGAAGATATCGTTAAAAAGCTTTATTTACTATAATATCTAGATTTTCTTCATATGTAACTTACAGATCATCTTGTTCTGTGGTTTTCCCATTTTTAATAGTTTGTTAGCCCAAAAAGTCAGTGTTTATAATAATTGGACCAATCAAGTTTCAAGTGAGGTGGGTTTTGTCTTTTGTGATCGTTGTAAAAATTGCGGTGTATATTTTCCAGGCATTAAATATCGCATAAGGACCTGGTATTAGTTCGTTTTGGTTATTTTTAATGTCTGTGAATTGATTTTTATTCAATATCCCTGATTCAAAAAGCAATTTACTTAATTTTCTTCTAAAGAAGAGAGCTGTTGCCGTGTTTATAGACATCTTCGGCTTCAGTACAAAGTATATCCAAGTTTTCTTTTCTCCCTATAATTTCTTTACAAATTGTACTATGTAGATTGAGGTACCCCACTTGATCTTGCCTTACCTTACGTTGCCTGCGTTATTTTATTAACTGTAATATTTCTTCTGTCATCTAATTACAATTAATAGTTCTACATGGGAAAAAAATTCATTGGAACCTTCGAGTGACTCTTTTATACTGACTCGTTTATACAGAAACACAGTAAGGACAAATATAACCTGCTATCAATAGTAATTGCAGGGAAGATAGAAGACCGATGAGAAATGAGCAGAAAAACAATGTCATAGCTTAGCAATATCAGTGCTTGCACGAACATGAACGTTCAACGATTACTAAGAGCGGCACAGAATAAAGAAGATATGGATATAGCGATCGGAAACCAGTGCAGCAGAAGAAGAAGTATACGATATTAATTTGGTAATTTTAAGTCAACTTTAAAGACTTTATCCAATAATATCATTATTGGTAACACTATTACTGTTTAAGAAAGGCGATAGAAAAGATCTGCAAAACTATAGGCCCATAACGCTACTTAATGTAATGTACAAACTGTTAACTAAATTAACAACTAAGTTGGATACTTACCAGTCAAGAGAACAAGCCGGTTTTAGAAAAGGATTCAGTACAAGCGACCATCAGCTTACGATAAAAATATTAATTAAAAAGACAAACGAATATCAAATCATAATGTATATGGCATTTGTAGACTTTGAAAAAGCATTCGATAACGTGGAACATTTGGGCAGTAAAGAACTCTACAAAATGGAAGAATAGACTATAGATATACGGACTTAATTTCCAATATAATATGATCATGCAACAAATAGTTGAACAAACGGTTCCTATTAAGATATGGCGAGGAGTCAGACAGGGTGACACTATATCACCCAAACTATTCAATCAAGCTTTGGAAGACGTTATAAGAAAATTACAATGGGAAAAACGGGGTATTAACATAAATGGCAAATACTTGAATCACTTGAGATATGCAGACGACATTGTATTAATAACAGATAAAAGGGAAGAATTACAACATAATGATGGATGAATTAAATAGCGAATCAACAGAAATAGAAGAGGAATTAATAATTACAATTGCACAAACAACTATAGAACAAGTAAAAGAATATGTATATTTGGGACAACTAGTTAAATTAAATAAAGAAACTCAGACCGGAGAAATAAAGAGAAGGATACGGTTGGCTTGGGTATCCTTCGGAAAACTTTTCTATATATTAAAAAATAAAAAATACCTCCAATATTTAAAAACAAGAGTCTTAAACCAATGTATACTTCCTGTTCCCACCTACGGTTCTCAAACTTGGACGTTTACAAAGGAAAACATGGAAAAAATAGCAGAGATCCAAAGAGCCATGGACAGGCATAAATCATGCTATCAGAAAAGAAAAGAAATATTTGGATCCGCAACAAAACAAAAGTGACCGATGTATCAACGCAGATAGCAAAACTTAAGTGGAAGTTCGCTGGACATACCATAAGACAGAAACACGACAGGTGGAATAAGATGATTATACTCTGGAGACCATATAGTTACAAATGAAAAAGAGGAAGGCCACAAATGAGATGGTCAGATAACTTGAAGAAACACGCAGGCCTGAAGTGGATACAAACTGCCTACAACAGAGAGACGTGGAAGAAGGAAGAGAAGGCCTGTGTCCAAAATTGGACAGCAAGGGCTGTATAGATATATAGATAGATAGACACACATATAAGTGTAGCTCCCAGTCCCTAAAATTTAGTTTCATAATCGTTTGGACGTCAACTCATTGCCTGTTTTTTTCTGCTGCATGAATCAGTATCCTGCGTTGGCAATGATTCTTATAGACTTTAAATCCTTAGTGTACTTAGATTGCCTAAATTTCTTTTCATTCAGCAAATAAAGCTTGCATGATGTAATTAATATTACTCTCAGTACATTGTTTCCTTCCGTTTTCCTTCTACTTTTCCCTGCAAGATTAGTTGCAGCAGTCCTTCAAGAATTCCTTTGTGATATTCTGATGTTATATGACCATTTCTCAGGAACCATTTCATGTCAACTCATAAACTTTCTTCATATCGAGTGGCACAGGGAACTTCATCGTGAAGTTTTCTTACAGCAGCTTTTATGCGACCTATTTTATTATCTAACTACAATTGTGTTGGGATAGCTCTTCAGGATCACTGCTTCTATATACGCTTAGTTCCCATTAAATGAGCTTTGTAACTTACACCACCACAACCTTTTGGGAAGGAAGTCGCAGTTATGTTATTTTTGCGATTTTTCAGGTGGGTGTACGTCTTATAGATGCCGTCCGCTGGCAGCCGGTGTCGTATCAGCTTTGTTTGAAAGCAAGGTCCGTCATATGTTAATCTTGCTGGGTATCATCCACTTGTTTTGTCATGATTTTCGGGTTCATTCTTTCAGCTCCGGATATTAATTGAATACGGATACATGAATTGTTGATTGTTCCTTAGTCTGCTGGAATGCTTTTGAAAATCTTTATTTTTCTTTACTTTTTAAAGCCTTTTTCCTTAGTTTATTTTGTCCATTGTGGTACCAGGAGTAAGGAAGAAATACGCTTTGTGGTGGTTAGTACCCTTAGACACTAGGTGTCAGTTGTAAGATGACCAGAAAATAAAAGGAAAATTTGTTGTAGTCGTTCTTAAGATCTTCTTCTTCTAGTTCCATGACCGTTATCGATCGTTGGATATCATGTTGGCTACCATATTCGCTATCGTGACTTTATTGACAGCAGCTCTAAATAACGATGTAGTTGATTTTCCATACCATTGCCTTATATTTTTCAGCCATGATGTTCTTCGTCTACCAGGACCACGATTACCTTGGATCTTTCCCTGAATGATTAGATGTAAAAGATCATATTTTTCAGGGTGTCTCATAATGTGACCAAAGTATTCTAGCTTGCGTTTCTTTATTATATTGACCAGTTGTGTTGTTTGGCTCAGCCGTCTAAGGACCTCCTCATTTCTAACTCTGTCGACCCAGCTTATTTTCAGTAGTCGTCTGTATACCCACATCTCAAAGGCTGTCAAGCGTTTAAGCATAGCCTCAGTTAGAGTCCACGTTTCTATTCCATACAGCAGGACAGGAAAGATGTAGCAAGATGTCATACGAATTCTAAGGTCAATGCTAAGATCGTGACTGCAAAGTACGTTTCTCATTTTTACAAAAGCAGCTCGGGCTTGTTCTATTCGGCTTTTAATTTCTGCAGTTGGGTCCCAGCTCTCATTGATATTACTGCCAAGATACACGAGTTTCTCTACTCTGTCCAGTGTGGCATCTCAGACTTTTATACCGTCATCCTGTAATATAATTTTGTTTGCTAACTATCATATATTTAGTTTTCTTAACGTTGAGTTTTAATCCGTACTGATCTCAAGAGTGTTTTATTTTGTTCATTAGATTTTGAAGGTCTTCTCCTCAATTGGCAAGGACTAGGTATCGTCGGCATATCTAATATTGTTGACGGTTACTCCATTCACAATAATACCTTCGGTTGCCTCCATTAAGGCTTCCTTAAATATTTTCTCCGAATATAAGTTAAAAAGTAAAGGCGACAATATACAGCCTTGTCTCACTCCTCTTTTTATATTTATTTCATCCGACAGTTCTTGTTCAACCTTTATTCTTGCCACTTGATGCTAGTATGGATTTGTAATTATTTGTAGATCTTTATCGTCCAATCCAGCTGTTTCCAATATTTCTAGCATTTTGTTATGTTGGATACTGTTCTTTAGATACTGGGGGAAATATTGCATACGATACGAAATATTGCATATTTTTCGTTTTCTTTTAGATTTGGAAACATTTTCCCAAATCCCGAATTCTAATTTGTGCCCCCTCCAATGCTGCAACCAATGAAGTTGCTGTAAGATTGAGGAAAATTATTCCCAAAACCGAAATATTTAGACTTCTTGGCGCTGCCTATTCCCAAAATAAAGTTGAGTTGCAAGGAATTGAAGATATTGTGAATATAGAACATGGTGAATTTTTTATGCCTTCCATGCAGGATCTGCTTAAATACAGAATATTGCTAACAACAATAGTAACTAGTGCAAGGTATGTAAAAACTTTTGTGTCATTCAATTTTTGCCCACAACTCGTTTACTTTTCATTTTTTGATTGTAAGATTTATCTCAAACCTTTCTTAGAATGATTTTTATTAATGCTATCATCTCTGCAGCTCCCTTCTAGAAAAGATATAAGAGTGACTTTAAAAACTGTAATGAATACAAAGACACCTAGCGCAGATTAAACTTCCAAAGAGGAAAAAATTACAGATATCAAAAGGGAGAGAGATGATATTAAACAGAGTTAAAATAGTCTGTCGAAACTGCAATACGAAAGGAACAAGTAAAAAAGAAAGAAATACCAAACTTCGCATCATTAATACTTACGTTAAAGCCTATTTTGTTATACGCTTGTGAGATCTGAAAATGATATAAAAAAAATCACAGATCAAATACCACCATTATTTGGTTAGCTAAGATCATTTTAAATAAAAAATCAAACAGAAACGCAGATAAGAGAGCGGGAATAAAGGAAGTTTGGCAACACTCTGAAGAAACCAAATTAAAAAAAAACTTTGATCTGAAATCCTTTTGGTCCAGCAGAAGGTAGACCCCATGGTACCTGAATAAGTATAATTGACAAAAAATCACTAAGCTAAGAAGAAAATTTAAAATGAGCCAAGAAAAGAGTTTGCGAAATCTTCTGTCTGCCTTATAAAACACGGAGTTAACGGAAATAAGTTAAACCTACTATTTGCTAAACGTTACACTTAAACCCGTGTTTGGATGGCTTGCTGGTCATATCAATTTTATATCAACATTTTTCCTTTAAATGCTACTAACATCAAAAATCGTCTTTAGTTTTTGTCATAAAAATTTAAAGTAAATAAATAACAGAATATTAATGTGAATTTTGTACAGGCAAATTCAAAAAAAATATGTTCTTGAAGAGACGATTTACTAAAAGAGAAAAAGTAGACAATCAAAAGAGAAGAAGAGTTAAAATCTTATGAAGTTTCTTTATTCATTTTCCACTTTTATCCCCTTATTTACAAATTTTTATCTTCTGTTGGAATACTTAGCAAATAAACGTTCATTAACAAGTTAAATGTTCCAGGCTGGTTAATGGCGGCGTTCCACCCAATCATTTTTCACATATATTCATTGATGAAAGTGGATATGCCACAGAAACGCAAACTCTGATTCCAATCGCAGGAATTTTATCAAACAGTGAACACAATGGCAATGTTATGGCCCAAGTGGTACTTGCTGGAGATCCGCAACAACTAGGCCCATTGGTTCATTCTGGGTTTGCTCAATATTGTGGATACGGTAAGTAGGTACTAGTTTAGGTATTTAATGTTTTTATTTAATCATTTTTTATTGAATAAGTGACTAAGTTGAATTTTTGACCTATATTTAAGCAGAGGCAGACGCGACTAAAAAATTAAAAACCCTGTTATATAAGCATTTTTCAGATAAAAATCTTCTGCAAGGTAATACCCTTTAAATTGCGTAGAAACTTAATATTGACATATAGGTTTTAATCAACAACAGTCAAGGAATACAATATGATAATATCAACAAAAAAACCAAATGTATGACAACATCTAAATACCTACTTCGATGTAAAATCGCAATTGATGGGAAAATAATAAAACAAGATGGATAGATTTCTGTAAGAAATGTATCCAAGTATTGCTACGCCACTGGTAGCAATTAACTTACATGTCTTAAATTCTACCTAGGTAAATTCTTTAGCAAATTCTCACGAAAGCCGAAATTGTATTCAAAAGATATTTTTATCCATAGATTAACTTTCTCCGATTAATCCCCAAAACTTCCGTGTTTAAAAGAATTCAAAAGGTCGGTTTTACCTACCTCTGTATAGAAATATCAAAGGGATCCCCTGTCATCCCCTTGGCGATAGTCAGGCACTGCAATCAGAATTTTAAGGATTCAGTCAGTATAACATTGTATTCCAGCTTAGCTGGTAGCTCTCGCATATTAGTTGGTGTTTAGTTTCGTATTCGATCAAAGTCGACGCATTTCTTGTTTAGAGTTTATCTTTCGCATTTTAGTTATTGTTTCACAGCTAATAGTTAAAAGCTGAATGCATTCTTAATCAAGTATCAAATTATATCCCAGCTTAGCTGGTCGCTTCTTGTTAGAGGTTTATCTCTCGCATATGAGTTATTGTTTCACAGCTTATAGTTAAATGCTGAACAGTCAGTATTAATAAAGTATATTCATATAGAAGAAAACGTCCTTAGTTAAAGTGATAATTAGTAGTAACATTTTAATCTGTATCAGTGTCAGTGTAGTGTGTAATTAGTAGTAACATTCAATTATTAAATTACGTATTGTTTGAACTGCTTGTGTTCTTATTTCGCTCGCCAGTGGGTGATCCTTCAAGTTGGAAGTAATTACAAGACTTTTTTTATAGCCCTTTTTCTATCCGAATTGTCGAATAAAGGCCTCTCCCATTTCTCGCATTTCATCCCTGTTGTGTGCTAGGCGTTTCCACATTGGTCCTGCGATTCTTTTGATATCGTCGCTCCAGCGCATTTGAGGTCTTTCTCTTGGTCTCTTCGCATCGTACGGTCGCCAGTTTCCGACTTCTTTGATCCATCTACCATCTTCGAGACGTTCGTTGTGTCCAGCCCATTTCCATTTTAATTTAGCTGCTTGTTTCGCGTGTTTCGCGGCGTCCTTTATTTTTATTTTGGTTCCGGATTGCTTCGTTCGTTTGCCCATCTATTAGTGAGATACCAAGCATGTGTCGTTCCATGGATCGCTGAGTTTTTCGAATCTTGTCCATGTTCTTTTTTGTGAATGTCCAGGTTTGAGTTTCGTAGGTGAGAACGGGAAGGATACAAGAATCGAACACTTTGGTTCAAAGGTTTTGGGGTATCTTTTTGTCTTTCAGTATGTATGAGAGTTTTCCAAATGCGGCCCATCCCATTCTTACTCGTCTGCTTATTTCGGTAGTTTGGTTTTCTTTGTTTACCTTGATATTCTGACCCAGATATATGTATTCTTCTACATGTTCCACTTTTGTTCCTTGGATGGTTATCGTCGGTTGATCATCTTTATTCGACATTAGCTTAGTTTTACTCAGATTCATTTTCAGTCCTTTTTTTATGGATTCCGTATCAAGCTCATCGATCATCGTCTTCAGTTCTTTCCAGCTGTCGGCTATTAGTACTACGTCATCTGCATATCTTAGATGGTTTAAATACTTTCCGTTTATCGATAGTCCCTTCGTTTTCCAATTTAGTGATTTAAAGATGTCTTCAAGTGCGGCAGTAAATAGTTTTGGAGATATGGTGTCTCCCTGTCTTACTCCTCGGTTGATTTTTATTGGCCTCGTTTTCATTCCGTTATCCATCGTGACTACATCCAACGTGACTATATCTAGAATCTATTCTGCTGTTGACCAGTGCTTCCTCAATAGCCCATAATTCTATGCTATCAAAAGCTTTCTCGTAGTCTATAAATGCTAAACAGATTGGTAAATTGTATTCGTTAACTTTTTCTATTAGGACTTTTAGTGTGTGAAGATGGTCGTATGTACTGAACTCTTTTCTAAATCCGGCTCGCTCTACTGGTTGATATACATCGAACTTTGTTGTCAATCTATTTGTAATTATTTTTGTGAATGTTTTATAAAGTTGAGATAGTAGTGATATTGGACGATAATTTTTCAGATCTGTATTGTCCCCTTTTTTGTGTATTAATATTGTTTTTGCAGTATTCCATTCCTTTCGTATGTTTCCTTCTAATAGACATTTATTAAAAAGTATTTTTAGGTAACTGATGACTTCTTCTCCGCCTTCTTTCAACATTTCTGCCAGAATTACATCACTACCCGGTGCTTTATTTCTTTTCAATTCTTTAATTGTATTTTCTATTTCTACCTCGCTTATTTCGGGCATTACTTCAGAATTTACGTTTGTTATTTGTCTTTTCAGATTTTGCTTTGAAGAGTCGTGGGAGTCTAATTACAAGACTTAGTACGCTCTAAATGGTAGCAAGATCGCCATCCTAATTTGTTGAACAAATTTCCGTTTAATTCTACCACAAGAAGCAAGGTTTAGATATCTCGAAGGATATAACTAGTTACGGAGATGTTGAAGAAGTACGACAACAAAGCTTAAAAGCAAGTAAAGCTGCGGGATTTCTTAATGACACAATCTGGAAGAACAAACACCTAAGACAAGACACAACAACAAGAATCTAAAAAGCAGCAATTAGTCCTATATTAGCATACACGGCGGAGACAAGACCTGACACATCTAAAACGAGACGACTAACTAGAAACAACAGAGATGAAAATACTCCGGACGAATATCAGAAAAAAGTCTGTTGGATAGGGAGAGAAGCGAAAACATACGAAGATCATGCAGTATAGAAAACATACATGGATGGGTGACAAAACGGAAACAGGACAGAACAAGAAGGAAGAAGAAGAAGGTTTTAATCATAAAGTGTAAAATACTGAAATTAATTTTATTATTTTTGTACTTATAAATCTAATAAATATTTTCAACGTCTGAAAATACTAGTCGACCAATATCTATTGTGAAAGAAAAACATATATGTATAAAATAAAATATTAATCTTCTACAAATCTTATTCAGGAAGTTCTAATAGGATATGGTTTGTTACTGTACTACAGCTGGGTACCTTTCTGTATGCGTGGAAGGGTACGGCATGGAATAGGTGAAAACTATTCTATCGTATGTAAAATTTTTCGCTGAATACGAATATGTAGCGAATATCTAGCGATACGAGTACGTTTGAAATTTCAGCTAATTTTAGCTTAAATTTTCACTGCGTATGCGTCCAGATTTCACTCCAGATGCACTAAAAATTTCAATACTGTTTAAATACAAGATATGGATTTCAAAAATAATTCCAGATTACTTCATTAAAAAAAAACGATGTAATATTATATTACATTTTTTTAACATTTTGTTTTTTTTTAGGTCAGTCAATGCTACAAAGACTTATTTTCAATCAATTGTATTCTAAAAATGAAAACAATTCATTTGATGACCGTTGTGTAACCAAATTGGTAAAAAATTACAGATCTCACGAATCGATTCTGAAAACATCAAGTAAATTATTTTATAATAATGAGCTGATCGCAGCTGGCAATGAATTTACGGATTTGTTCATTGGCTCAGATAATCTTGTAAACCAGAAATTTCCAGTTATTTTTCATAACGTTGAAGGGGAAGACGTAAGAGATAAATCATCACCAAGGTAAGTCAATACTTTTAAACAAATTAAGTAAAAAAGCAATATTGTCCATTCGCTCAGCTAGGGAATATTTTGACATATTTATAGTTGCAAATATACAGCACAAGAATTCCTACTTTATACTATTAACAGCTTAACTTACTATTGCAGATTTCTTTCAATAAAAAAAAAAGAAATATTAGAAATAGTCGGCATGTATACTAAACCCAATAAAGTTCGTTATATACAGGGTGTCCCCGAAAATAGTGCGTTTGTTTAAAGTATGAGTATAATACACAATTTGGAACAAAAAAGTCTTATAACACTTTTCCCAAATTTAACTAAGTGTCTGTAAACCTTCTAAACTGTCTGCAAAGAGGATGGTGTCATCTGCATATCTGATGTTATTCAGGCGCTCACCATTTATGAGAATACCCTCTTTATGAGAATCTAATAGGGGAGAGAATATGCAGTCCTGTCGTACTCCTTTCTTTATTGCAACTTCCTCTGTTAGTTGGTATTTCACCCGATTGGTTGCTGGTTGGTTGTAGTTCTTCTTCTTTAAGTTCCATCTTCTATCGAAGGTTGGAAATCATCATGGCTATGCGGACTCTGTTGACTGCCGCTCTAAAAAGTTCTGCACTACTGCATTCAAACCATTCCCTCAAGTTCTTAAGCCAGGATATTCTTCGTCTTCCCACATTTCGCTTTCCTCGGATTTTGCCCTGCATAATAAGTTGTAATAATGCGTATTTTTGCCCTCTCATCACATGTCCCAAGTACTCAAGTTTTCGTCTTTTAATAGTTAATATTATTTCCGCCTCATTTCCTATCCTTCTAGTTACTTCCATGTTTGATATTCTTTGAGTCCATGATATTCGTAGGATTCTTCTGTAACACCAAAATTCAAAGGCGGCCAACTTATTCAGATGAACTTGTTTTAGTGTCCAAGCTTCCAGACCATAAAGAAGAGTAGAGAACACGTAACATCGAAGCATTCTCAGGCGTAGTTCTAACCTTATATCCCGACAACAAAGAAACTTTTTAAGTTTAATAAATGATGTACGTGCTATTTCAATATGTGTCTTAATTTCTTTGGTTTGGTCTACATCTGATGTTATCCATGTTCCTAAGTATTTATAGTTATTAACACTCTCAATTGCAGTATCTTCAATAGTCAATTGGATATTTGCATGTGCAGATTTAGTCATGATCATGCATTTAGTTTTCTTTAAATTTATCTTCAGTCCGTACTCATGACAGCGTTCATTAAGGCGTTGCATTACGTTCTGTAAATCATGGTTGTTATCCGTAATTATTACTGTATCGTCTGCAAAACGTAAGTTATTCAAAACTTCTCCATTGATAGATATACCTTCTATTGAGTCTGAGAGCGCTTCTTGAAATACCGCTTCACTGTAGACATTGAAAAGTAGTGGGGACAGCACGCAACCCTGGCGGACTCCTCTCTGTATTTTGATATTTTCGGTGTACTGGCTGTCAACCCTTACCTTGGCAGTTTGATTCCAATATAAATTAGATATAATTTTCAGATCACGACTGTCAATATTTTTGCTTTTTAATATATCTACAAGCTTTTTATGTTGAACTTTATCAAATGCCTTTTCAAAGTCTACAAAACATAAGTACATATCCTGATTCATGTCCATGCATCTCTGAGCCAGCACATTCAAGCCGAACAAAGCATCTCTTGTACTCATACCATTTCTAAAGCCAAATTGTGTGTCACTAATCTCATATTCAAGAGTTTTAACAATTCTGCTGTGAATTATTTTCAAAAATGTTTTAAGTGTGTGACTCATTAAAGCTATTGTTCTGTGGTCTGAGCAAGTTGTTGAACTTGGTTTTTTGGGAATTGCTACAAAGGTTGATTGCAGCCATTGTCTGGGGATTGTGGCAGTCTGATATATTAGATTAAAGAGTTCAACCATTACATCAATAACATCTTCATCGATGAGTTTTAATAATTCGATGGGCACCTCATCTGGTCCAGTGGCTTTACCCTCTTTTGTGTTTTTGATGGCATACATGACTTCTTCTCTTAATATTGGTGGTCCAGTATCTTCGGTGATTTCTAATGACAGTTCTTCTCTTTCATCATTAAATAGTTGTTGAATGTAATTGGTCCAGTGACATAATCTCTCCCTTATATCAGTAATAATATTCCCTTTATTATTTTTAAGGATATTCGTTTTTGTACGCTTTCTAGAACCTGTCATTTCTTTGATTTTTTTTGTGTAAATTAAAGCTATCATACTTTTTATCCAGATCTTCTATTTCCTTGCATCTATCGGAGAGCCACCTCTCTTTTGCCTCTCGAATTTTCTTTCTGATGTTTCTCTGAATTTCTTTGTATTTATTCAGGTCTTTTGCTTTATGTTTTCTTCGTTCTTCCATGAGTTCAAGAATTTCTACTGTCATCCAAGGTTTTGTTTTTTCTTTAAGTGGTTTGAGGGTTTCTTTTCCAACTGACACAAGGGCATGTTGAATTTTTCCCCATTTTTGTTCAACAGTTAGAGTTTCTGCATTATCTTCTTTGACTTTCCTTAAGCTCTCGTTTATTTTAAATTTGGTTTCCACATATGTGTTGTCTTGGTTGTAGTATGTGTTCTTAATTACTCGAAGGTCTTTGTTATCCAGATCAGTTGCCTCTAGTATATCCATGAGCCTATCGTGCTTAATTATGTCGAAAGCTTTCTGGTAGGCGATAAAGCATACTTAAATATCGCAGTTGACGTCTCTGCACCTTTGCAATAATACCTCAACCGCGAACAAGGCTTCTCTTGTACCTAACGCATCCCTGAACCCAAACTGCGTTCGTGAGATCTCTGACTTGCATTTCTGATAAATTCTTTTGTGTATTATCTCTAAGAAGGTCTTAAGCATGTGGCTCATTCGACTGATAATACAATATTCTTCGCATTTTTTTTAATTAGGTTTTTTAGGTATAGCAATAAATGTAGATTTTAACCAGCTCTCTGGGATTTTTTTCCGAGTCATAGATTTTATTGAACGTTGTCGTAAGCCATTTTACTCCTTCGTCTCCCATGATTTTTAGAAATTCTGAATGAAAGTTGTCGGGTCCTGGTGCTTTACCTGCTTTGGTTGCTTTAACTGCGGCTTTGACCTCGTCTTAAGTAACTGGTAGTCCTGTGTTGTTTTCCGTAATTATCTGATTGTTATCTCTGTCATCATCTAATGTCTTCTCAACGTATCTCTTCCATATATTATTTGTTTGTTCAATGCCTATTATCGGGTATCCATGATCATCAGTCGTATGTCCTGATGCCTCTTTTATCTTTTTGTGGAGATCGTGTCGTGTCTACTTTCCAATGATTCTATTTCTCTGCATTGATCTTCCAACCATTTGTTTTTGGTTTCTCTAATAATTTTTCTTATTTCTTTGTCAATTCGTTTATACTCCCACATGTCTCTGTATATAGCTCTTCTTCTATTCTCCTGCATATTAGGGTTTTATCAGTAATCCACTTTGTCTTTTTAACCGTTGTTGGGCGAAGATATTTATCTAGGACTGTCTGGTTAATTTGTTGTAGTTTTGCCATTTCGTTATCTGGTTCATTAGCTTTGTCTGTATTTTTTAATTATTTTTCTATATTGGTTTGTATTTGGGGCCTGGTGTCTTCATTTTTTAATAGTCCTAAATCATATTTCCTTGCTTTTGCACTCTCTATCTTCTTCAGCTTTAGTCTGATAATAATTACCAGTGGGTTATGGTGCGACCCGATATCAGCACCAGGATATATTTTGGCTGATGTTTTTAGTTTCTGAATCTTTTCTTCACCATAATGTAATCAATTTTTTTTCTGATGACGTGATCTGGGGTGGCTTTGATTTGATCTTCACGTATATGATCTCCTAGCTGGTAGTTTTGAGAAAGTGTTGGTGATTACCAGTTGTTCTCCCACAGCGAAGGTGATCAGGCGATCTCCGCGTTCGTTTTGTTCCCCCAGTCCAAAGTGTCCTACGGTTTCTCCACATCTACCCTTTTCCACTTTGGTATTTAAGTCTCCCATAAGCATTTATATTTCGTTTTTGTGAAGTTTTTTCAAAACACTCATTAGTTCCGAATAGAAAGTTCGATCTCTTCGTCTGATTTGTCTGCAGTAGGTACATATACCTGGATTATGTTGGTCTTAACAGGGAATATGTTAAACTGAATAAGGTGTTAAACACGAAGTTTGTGACGTATTTAGAGATGTTCTTATTCACTCAGATACCAACTCCGTTAATATGTAGCTCTTCGCTATTTCCGGAGTAATAAATCTGGTGGTCATGTACTGTGCTCTATCCAGACCCAGGTTTTTACATAGTTTTAGAAATATAGACAAAAGGACAACATAACTAGTTATCATCTTTTCCACAGCCTTTTTGCAGAAATGTTTTTATATATTTTTATAAGCTTCACAAGAAACGAGTTTATGTGTTACCATTCTTGTTAATCAGAATTGTAGTTATCCGTGTGCAATAATTCAAATACATTATGTATGCCACGTAGTAATAATTACGTTAACAAGCAGCTGCGTTATTTCTTCTTCCATTTTCTTGATAAGTTGTGCTTAAATACCGTCATGCCCTGCCACGTTGCAATTCTTTAGTTTTACTATTACTTTTTGATATTCTGTCCACTTAATTCTCTCTCCGTGATCAGTCCCAGGACTAATATTTATGTACTTCAGTAATTTCTTTTTTTTTTTTTCACCATTGAATATATCCACAAAGTACTCTTGTCATCTACTAATAATTTGTGCGCTAGAGAATAACAGCTTTTATCTCTAACATCTGCTATTCCTCTTGTACTAATTGATGCTTTTAGTAACTTTTAATAGTAGCTTGGCATGTCCTGGTTTAAAAAAATATGAATAAATTAACTAAATATATAATTGTTGAATATTTTCTTCCAACTTTTTCACTTAAGACTCAGTTTTAATTCAAATTAGCCTGTATAATTCCCAAGTGCGACAAACTTTTAATTAGTTTTTGATTTAAAAACAACATTCTTCAGATTCATTTATTGTTTGGGCCATGGCGCAAATTTATAAATAGTATAATCCACTGCGGTAGCTCACGTCAAAAAACCTTGAATTTTTAAACCAGTTTTAACGTTCTACAATGATGCTGATAAAATTACTACAATAATTAATTACTCTTCTTTGAACGCCTACCCTTTTTTTATACAGATGGAGCTATTTGAATCACTTATTTGAGAAACCCGATAAGTTTTTACCAAAATTGTTTTTTCAATTAAATGAACTTCTAACTGTAACAGGCGTTTTTCCTATGCAGCGCGCATGTCGTTATAATTTGGCACAATATTGCCAATAATTTTTAGTCAAGTTCAATCTTATGTTGTGAATGCACTTAGATAAATAAATGTGTAGTGAATACGAATACAGTAGTAATAATAGGAAAGACAGTTAATATTTGATTTCACGTATAGTGCGTATTATACGTATTTCGCCCTAAAAGGGATCTTCGGAGCGACCATTCACAAACGCTCTGAACGTGAAAATAATCTTTTCTGTCATAATAGAAGCAACTATAAAATGGCTTCGATCTGGACGCAATAGCGATATCTGATAAATAAATACGTAAGCTTTTCCGCAGAGATTTCTGCTTTAATCTGTGCCTACAAAGAATTGCAAGGCAAAACAGACGTTGATTAAGATGTTATTAGAGACATGGGGAATCTAAAATTGCATTCACATACCACCTTAACTAAGCAAAAATCCTAAGCGAATTGGTTTCTTGTACTCATATAGAGTATATCGGAATAAAAGGAAAGACAATTCCTAACTAGATAAGAAACTAGATATCATTCTTATGTACCGGGTGGTCTAATAAGCCGATCTCTCGGCTATATATCAGAAACTATTCATGTTATAACTTTAGGAGAAAAAATTCCTTAGTAAAAGTGGCCAAGACAAATCGCTGGAAATAACTTTCAAGGTTCTGGATTAACCGCTAGGGGGCGTAACCTACGAAGAAAATTTTGAAAACCAGTTTTTTGGGAAATATGTCCAATTATACCAAGTGTTAAATAAGTAAACTAAAAAGAGGCATAAATTCTGCACAAAGTTGTTCAAGTACTTTTTTGTTATTTTTTCAAATAATGGGTGGGGGAGAGTGGGAAAGTATTTGTGGATAAATACCTATAACTTTAGTTTGAATTAACCGATTTTAACAAAATTAGTGTCATTAGAAAGAGTATGAATGAATTAATTTACATCTACTATAAAATAATTGCATTTAGTTTTAATTGTCGTAGGTAGGGGGTACTCTCGAATAGAAAAAATTAAAATTTGTTTTTCTTCAAACTTTTTAATGGAAACACCTATTTATTGTAAATTATAATGGAACTGGATTAAATTCGTAATATTCGTAAATTCGTAAATTAAATAGCTTTTATCCAACTCGAGATATGAATAAAAACGCATAAACATAAGTAAGTATAGTATTGACACACCCTGTATTATAAAATAAATTTAAAAATAAGTCAGTAGGTACTTTCAAAATTTTTTGTAGCAGAAAACCCTTAATGTTGATACCTATTTTGACCATTGTTATTTCATATGAATAAAAATTGTTTTTCGAAACTAAGTAGGCTACGACAATGAATTTGGCAGGGAGTTCATATTGTTTATTTATTGACAGCAGTCTAAATATTGTTAAGAAGTATTATATGTATTATAATTCGAATTGAAAATTGCATTTATTTTTAATAGATATTATTATTGGTAATATTAGTAATTAATTATCAGTACTAATAATTCGTGATGAGTATATCAAATTGTATGATATGATTGGAGTTTATTTCGAACATCACCAAAATATATATATTCTGTATATATTCTGTAAGATATCCTGGCAGGAGATATTGTGGCAAAGAAGTAGAGATTTCGGACTACTTATATGTGGATTCTGTTGAATTAAAGCAAGAACATTGATTGAATTATCTTTGGTCATAACTCTACTACGTCGTTTAAAACAAGGACGAGAAAAACTACCAGTTTCTCTTAATCTTTTTGCGTTTATTTCAAATACTTCTTTGCCATAATGTCTCCTGTCAGGATATCTTACAAAATATATACGTGAGGCAATAGCGGCATTTTGGTGACATTCGAAATAAACTCCAATCATATCATACAATTTGATATACTCATCACGAATTATTTGTACTGATAATTAATTACTAATATTACCAATATTAATATCTATTGAAAAAAGTGCAATCTTTAATTCGAACTATAATATAGCACTTCTTAACAATGTTTTGACTGCTGTCAATAAATAAACAATATGAACTCCCCGTCAAATTCATTGTCGTAGCCTACTTAGTTTCGAAAAAACTATTTTTTACAAAATAGGTATCAACATTAAGATTCTTCTGCTATAAAAAAATTTGAAAATACCTACTGACTTATTTTTTATTGTAATTTATAATACAGGGTGTGTCAATACTATACTTACTTATGTTTATGAGTTTTTATTCATATCTCGAGTTCAACAAAAGCTATTAACATGCGGTTTGCTCCATTTTGTTACGAATTTTATCCAGTTCCATTATAATTTACAATAAATAGGTGTTTCTATTAAAAAAATTGAAGAAAAACAAATTTTAATTTTTTTTATTTGAAAGTCCCCTCTAACTACAACTATGAAAACTAAATGCAAGTATTTTATAGTAGATATGAATTAATTCATCCACACTCTTTCTAATGACACTAATTTTATTAAAATCGATTGATCCAAACCAAAGTTATAGGTATTTATCCACAAATACTTTCCCACTCTCCCCCACCCTTTATTTGAAAAAATAAAAAAAAAGTACTTAAACAACTTTGTGCAGAATTTATGCCCCTTTCTAGTTAACCTATTTAACACTTGGTATAATTGGACATATTTCCCAAAAAACTGGTTTTCAAAATTTTCTTCGCAGGTTACGCCCCCTAGCGGTTAATCCAGAATCTTGAAAGTTATTTCCAGCGATTTGTCTTGGCCACTTTTACTAAGGAATTTTTTCTCCTAAAGTTATAACATGAATAGTTTCTGATATATAGCCGAGAGATCGGCTTATTGGACCACCCGGTACAAAATGTTTACAGAAAAATTTCCGGAATATGCCACTGAAGTATTCATGCTACAGAAAAGTTTTTAAAGAAGATTGTGAATTATCATTTGGAAGACTTCAGGTAGACACATGTGGTGTGTGTGAGAAGCTTACAATGAAAATAAATAGTACGCCTTTGAACGATAATGCAAAGAGAGTTGCAGCCGCCGAGAAAATGATTTATCTACGTCGAGCCAGGAAATTTTCAACTCAAATTAAATTTTTTAAAGAAATGACTGAATCCAACGAGAAAATTGGGGTTATTTCTATAGATTTCATGCAGAACCTTCAACTGATATAAATTCCGCTGCAAAAGGTTGTTTACCTTCGCCAGATAACAGTGACCGTTTTTTGTATTATTAACAAAACATTAAAAACAACGTTTTTCTTGTATCGTAAGGGTAAAGGTACGAAGGGGCCAATTGAAGTTTGCTTATTTTTAATGAGGCATTTCATACAGAACATGCCGTTAGTGAAATATCCTCGATGTTTTCTTTGACGGTTGTGGAGTGCAAAATAAAAGCCGCACTGTGTTAAGGTTTTTTCCCGCTATGATTTCGCTCGAAAAATTTAAGACCATTTTACATTATTTTTATATTAGGAGTCATTTATTCCTACCCTATGATAAGGATTTTGCGGCGATTAAAAGAAAAATTAGAAAAGTGGACGATATATACACCATGGAAGAATATGGACAGCTAATAAAAACTTCATGTAAAAATAAGCGCTTTAATGTAGTATTGATCAATGCTGAAGACGTAATTGATTATAAAAGTTGGTGGTCATAATACTATAAAAAAAAGAATTTATATCTTTGTACGTGGGTATATTTAAAAAACCCTTAAAAGGGCTACATTGAATAATACAAACAAACGTTTTTGGAATAACAATTCCATCTTCAGGTTTAAAAAGTACCTAAAATAAGTATAAACCATTTAGTTAAAACAAACGTGGTTTAAAATTTTGACTAAGGTTAAGAAGCTTCTTAACTTTTTTAGTTAAGACGATTTTCTCTGCTATTTGATGCCTTTACTCGACTATTTTGTCTACTACTTGACGCCATTGAACTAAAATAAATAAAAATAAGTTGAAACACAATTATTACCGTATTGGGTCCGGGGTACCAATGCTTGTACTTCTGGAAATATCTTACCTCGTTGTTTCACTAAAATGTAGCGGATGACCCGTATTCTAACTCGGCTTACGACAGACTGAATTTACATAAAGTGATGACACGCATAAACCACTCATGCGCATGTCACATTGCAATTAATGACTCTCTGGGTTTCTGAGACCCAACAGTGCAGTTCCAGGGTTAATTATCTTATGCCAAAGTTGTTTTGGGACATACCTAATAAGGCCTATATGATTAGACATATGCCAATTGAAAAGCGGCATTGGTTATAGTGGCTAAATTGATTTTTATTATAACCAAAACACTTTCAATATAATTAATTTTTAATAAACGTTTTTAATTTATTTTAGTTTCTTTAACGTCCAAGAAATTGAGCAGACTGTTGAATATGTTTCAAAATTACTATCGACTAAAGCCAAAGGAGTAGCTATTAAGCAAAGTCACATTGGTGTTATCACTCCTTACAGGAAACAGGTAATATTATTTATCTTCCCTTATATTGTAATGCCTCCATTATACTTTTAAGTGTACTGCAATAGGTCTTATTCCAGTACAGCTTATTAAATAAAATCGAATTGTTCCTTAAATTATAAAGTTTAAAATCTTAATTTGTACAATTGTAGCTCCTTTAGTAACAATAAAAATAACTAAAAACAAAATTAAACATTTGGAAAACAAAATTTTTCCAAAAACCTTTTGTGTCTCCCAAAAGATGTTCTGCGGCAAACTTTTTTAATAACTACCAAAATGAAAAACGGGTTTGAATGATACGCAAGTTTTAAAAGTTTAAAATACTACTAAATACCAGTTTAAATGAAAGTAAATTTATGATTAATTTATAAAACTCTAAGGTCTTTTGTAGTGTATATTCTAAATACATCACCGTCGTCAATGTCATAAGTTTTCTTCTCTTTTACCCATGTATCTCGTGATAGTTGTACAAGAAATTATAATTTTCGACTAATGAAACGCATAAAACATTAAACCCGCATCTACATGATTTATAGTTCTTCGAGTTTAGTTGCTTTTGTCTGTGAAATAGGAATTAATAGAAAACGTCTGGAGTTGAGAACTTTTAATAAAAAATGTTTTTAAAAGTACTGTAAAAGAAGAAAGCTGAAATAATAATCATTTACAACTTAACGTAGCAGAAATATTTGAAAAATTTACTGCTGTCATGAATTTCAATACACAATGTGTACAGAAAATAGCTTAAGTTACTAGTATCCTAGCGGAACTATAGAACAACACAATCATGGCGATCAGGACAGAACAATGGTGCTACCATCTAATAAAAGAAACATGAAGATATAAGTAGCTCCCTAGTGATCGAAATGTGAGACTACTTTTGCACCATACTCAAAAAAAAAGAGATATATCAAATCCTCTAACCACAAATTAATTTCGGTTCTAAATATAGCGTATACAATATTCTTCACTAAGCCGTCATATGAACCTATATGAAGAAATAATAATGGGAAAATACTAGGTTGGAGAAGTATTGACAAGAGCTTTATTATAATATACAATTATACGGCCATTAGATGCCTACTCGACTAAATTCCCTTTCATTAACAAAGAATTTCAAAATGGCAAAAGAAAACAAACACGTAATATTAATCTGGGTTCCATCTCATATTGCAATACATGGTAATGGTGTTGTGTACCGTCTAGCTCACGAAGCAGCGACAAGTGATGGTCAAGTGCAATTAAATAAAAAAGTGCCAAGTGATCTTAAATTGTGCTTAAAAAACGTAGTTAGTTGTGCGTGGCAAAACAAAGTGTTCCGAAAAACTAAGGCAAAGACAATGCTTTAAAAAAACAAGCCTGTGTGTTACCTAGAAAAAAACAAGTCATCTTTTCTCGACTTCGAGTCTCACCCGCCATACACATCTTTACCGAATTACAAGAGACAATCCTCCATACTGCAACCAGTGTCAAACCAACAGTACAGTAAAACATGTTTTAACCGAATGTCAAATTTTCCAGGAAACGAGAAGTAAACTCAACCTTCCCAAATACATAGGCGAGGTTCTTAGGGACAACAATCATCTAAACAGTATTATAAAGTTTTTAACGGCTATAGGCATAAAAGATATTTAAATTAAAATCTAGTATGTATCACAAATTACATATATCAATCTTCTTCCATGTTAGTGTATTGAATATTTCTTTGTTCTAATATATATTTTTCATTGTTGTCGTATATAACCTCAGTGGTTTAGACGACATTAAATAAATCAATAAAAAAAATTCTCAAATATATAGGTAAATACAAAGATAACAAATTACAATACAATAATAGGCCCAATAATACGACTGAAAGACAAGAGCCGAAAGAGATAGCTAATAAATTTACTCTAAGGCAGTTTTCCTTCTCCTCAGTCCTAATCCCTTTTGGGATGTGGTGACACAATCAGGCCATCAGTTTTTTTCACGATTTCCCTCCATCCTTCTCTGTCCTGGGCTAGTTGCTCGGCTTCATGTAACCCTTAGTTAATCAATATTTTTGTTTGATCTACCTAACGGCTCTTAGATCTTCCCCTAGGTCTCTTTTCTTCAACGCTACCTTCGACTATCAGTCTTTCTATCGTACCTGTTCTTCTAGAAATGTGTCCAAAATACTGCAAATATCTCTGTTGTATTTGTTTATACAATATATCCTTTTAATATCGATACGTTAGTGCGATGATAAATCCAGGATATTCTCAACATGCGGCGGTATACCCACATTTCAAAAGCGTCCAGTTTATTTTTATCCGCTTTCTTTAAGGTCCACGTTTTGGATGCATATGTAGCTATGGGAAAAATGAGCGCTCTTATCAGCCTTAGTTTTTTGTTTATTGTTATGCTAGAATTTTTCCAAATTTCTATCAGTTTTATCATGGCTGTTCTAGCAATACTTAACTTTCTACGTATTTCTCTGTCACACCCTCCGTCATTTGTTATTAGGAACTCCAGGTCTATGAAACTATTTACTACTTCAAAGCCCTCCAATTTCTTTAATGTATTGAAGTTTATTCCGAGCTCTGTCTACTATCATGATCTTTGTCTTACTCCTATTTAGCTTTAGTCCATATGTTTTGTTTTTTCCTCCAGACATCTCATTACGTTTTCCATTTCTTCTTGATTTGTCGCGGTTATTAAAGTGTCATCAGCATATCTCAAGTTATTGATTTTTTGACCCTCTACTGATATTCCGCCCTTCCCACTGTCTAGTACCTTTCGCATAATGTGTTCGCTGTAGATATTAAACAGATTTAGCGAGATCATGCATCCCTGCCTGACATGTGCCTCTGTTCTGAAATGATCGGAATGGGTGTTGTTTATTTTTACTGTGCACTTATTATTTTCATATAGACTTCTAATTAGTCGAATTAAGTGGTGGGATGTTCCCATTTCCGCTAGTATGGACCATAGCTGCTGCCATTTAACTTTATCGAAGGCCTTTGTGTAATCCACAAAGCACATAAGCATAGGAGTATTGAATTCGCGAGTTTTTTCGATTAGCTGTCTGGCATTAAGGATGTGTTCTCTTGTTTCTTTTCCTGGGACAAATCCGGCTTGTTTTTCTGATATCTGAGGCAACAGAAAAGCTTTTAGTCTTTCATGTATTACATAAAGTAGAACCTTGCTTGCATGGGATATTAGGGTTAACGTTCTGTAATTGCTGCAATCTAGCGAAGTTCCTTTTTTGAACACAGGGATGAAAGTGGATGTTGTTCAGTCGTTGGGCCACTCTCCGGTTTCTCAAATCTTTTTGCAGATCATATGCATAAAATTTACTCCAACATCTCCAGTCTCTTTTAAAACTACTGCGGTGATCTGGTCTCCGCCAGGATATTTTCTATTTTTCAACTTTTTGATTGCTTTTTCTACCTCTGACTTTAGAATGTTTGGTACTCTCTCTGCAGTGAACTCATCGTGATTTGCATTCTGGGGATCATCTGCATATAGACTTTGACAATATTTTCTCCATAGCTCCGCAATCCCTTTCTCGTCATTTATATGTTGGTTTTGATCCATTATTTTTTGTGTGATTTGGTTTAAATTTCCTGGATAGATATCGGACTTAGTTATATAGCTCATGGGATTCATACCGGTTTGCATGTCTCTCTAGTTCTTCGCATTCTTCATTTATATGTTTATTTTTATCACCCCTCCATGCTCTTTTAATTTCTCTATTTAACTTTGAGATTTGATTCTCTTTCGCTATTCGAGAAGTTTCAGCGTTCTGTCTGTCATCCAGTCTTTTCTTTTGATGATCTTTTTTTCGGTTCTGGTTCTTTCTACAGAGGTTTCTATGGCATTTCTAAAACCTTTCCAAATTTCTTCGGGGTTATCTTGTGTGTTCAACATACTAGTTTCCTTTAATGTATCCCTAAATCAATATAAGATTGAATGTTCGAATAATTAAACTTTGATGGTATACAAGGCAAATATCGAACACAGTAATTAATTAAGTCTTGCTTAAGTACTTTCGATCAATAGATCATCCTCAATGGCATTTCGTCAGTTGTGGCCTATCCGACATGAGCAGAATGTCATACATGTAAATTTGGACATAACAATACAATACACAAAGACAAACAAACACTTTAAAATTTTTAAAAAAGGAGAAACTACATGTTATATAGAAGCCGGAGACAGAATGGAATTTTGTTTGTTGTATTCTAATGATTTCTCTTGCATTTGCTTCATTATAAATATAGCGTCGGTGCATGATCTTCCCGACCTAAAACCCTGTTGTTCTTGTGCTAGTATTATAATTTCATTTAGTTGATCTGTTATCACTTTGTTAATTTTACTGGTTAACCCTTTTCTTGGTAAACCAAAATAAACATGTAAAAATTGTGTTTTCTTTGTATTAATGCCCTTTTAGAGTTATTTATAAATTTATGAAAGAGATATTTCACTTTTAATTTGTCGTAAGTACCAAATTTGAATTTGTTACAAATTTGCCACATTGCCAAGAATACCACAAACCTGGTTATCACTGAGAATCTATGCATTTTCTAAGATTTTAAACGGGATCTTAAAAACGAGTTCAAATAGGAAAACAGGAAAATGAGTTTTTCTACAAATTAAAAAAAGCTTGTAATTTTCAAAAATAGTACAAAAATTATTCTTATATTCTAAATAAAACTCGTAAAATCTAAATAAAATTCTTAATAAAAACAAAGCGTTACAATCTAGGTGCCTACTTATTTGTGATGATAGACGTAATAACAGTTTATTTTGCCATTTAGACAAAGCCGCCTACCTTCACACTTCATGCACTGAAAGGAAGTAGTGTCTGACTCATTGACGCAGACATTGGCTGAGGAAAGTGGTCTATTTCATCATAGTGCGAGTCATTATCTGCTGATGTATTTTTGTAAATTCTTATTTTAGGTAAAGGGACTTGTTCTTCTTTAGATAATTTTCTTTTTGTTTGCACCATTCGCACCTTTTTTAGCAGTCCATCGGCAATCGATTTTCTAAATATTTTTAAGCTCATATACTTTGATGTACTGATTTGTACTGTCCAAGGCATGATGCCCACGATACAGCACCCAGGCATTTGTCATACATAGGTCAATAATAATCAATAATATTATCATACCACTTTACACATGCTAGGCTTTTAGTATTGTAGGTATATACTTCATAAGAACAACGTCCCTCATTTTTCATTTCTTTGTCAGATTTGAAGGGACAATTCCTCAGTCGATCAAACCGGGTAGTACCAAGTCCAAGTATTACAAATTCAATTCGCAGATAGTTTAACAAATCAAAAGAACAAAAATAGTCAGAATATACTGCAGTTTAACAAAAATGTAACATTTTTATTTTAGGTCCTAGGTGAGTTCTAGGCGACTTGTGGCGCATCACTATTAAAAAACCTTGCAACCGATCCACCTAAGCCAAGCATCTTTTTATTTTCTGTTAGATTTATTCTTATAAAAGTATCTGCACCTCCATATAGTATAAAGTCATAAACGAAGCCTATAGTCCACACCTACCAAACAATTTAAAGCCTCATTTTTTTGGCTTGCTTTTTTTATATATTGTCTTCTTGAACCAGCTCTATTTTCCTTGTATGCGATCATCATCTCATCTGTACTCTGCTCTTTCTCCTCTTCAATGACAAGACATTTCAAAATATTCTAACTCATCTTCAAAATCTTTTGGTGGAATTTCGACGCAGCCAGTAAATTTTTTATTAGACCATGTGTAATTTACATTGATAATTTTAGAATAGGACGGATTGGAAATTATTTGTGTAGCAAGAAGTTCTTCTACTTCCTCCGGACTTTGATGAGGTATTATTTCACCAAAATCAAAATCACAGCGGCGGCCGGCCAGGTGAAGTAGGTGAAGGTGAGGTTCACCAAAAAAATATAATTAAATTGAGGCATAAATAAAAAATGAAAGCAACATTATTATATCTAAATTCGAAAATAAATTATTTATTCTCTTTTAATTAATTTAAAAATTAAAAAAAGGTAACTAGCCTTACTAGCGGTAGGTACTTGACGGTCAAGTGCTGACCTGTGACACTAGCCGTGTGCGATTCAGGAATAGGTCATGATACTATGAATTAAAGATAAACCCACGCGCACGCTATCAGTCTATCTCTTTTGCACGTGTGACGTCACTGGGCGACAAATATCAATGGAAATGTTCTGTTTTGCATGGAGTTTTGTCAGATTTAGTATTGTTATTGTCAGATGTAGTATTGTCTGATAATAAAACATTCTAAACGAACTAAACATTTTTATGATTCCTAATAATTGATTTGTTTATAGGTTGAGAAGTTGAAAGAAGCTTTCGCAAGTAGAAACTGGAATTCTTTACTTACTGGATCCGTGGAGCAGTTCCAAGGAAAAGAAAGACTTGTTATCATTATATCTACAGTAAGGTCCAAAAATGCAAGTAAATTTGAAAATATTGACAAGATGTGCGATTTAGGTTTTCTGAAAAATCCAAAGGTAAATTTAAATAATTTAAATAATAATAAATAAATCGGCATCTACTCTCCCTGTACTTTTAACATGTATTTCTAAGAAATATTCAAGAAATCCTTTTAAGCCAGACAATACTGCATACTGTCTTACTGAGACTAGAGATCCCCAAAACTAGTGAATGTGCCAAGAACTCAGCAACATTTCAAAATAAAGCGAATATTTCTCTCTCAATCGAACTCTTTCTCTGTGTCTTTCTCTGTTTCTCTACCCTTACGTCGATTTCTCTCTTTATCTGTTTCTTACCCTATCTAAATGTTCATTTTTCTCCCTTTCTATCATTCTCGGGAGTACAGCTAAACAACATCCGCTATGCAGATGACACCGTTATTTTTGCAGACAGTTTAAAGCAACTAATAAACAAAGTAAATTAAGTAAGGGAAAGATTTTGACTACAAGTAAACATATCAAAAACTAAATTTATGGTCATCAGGAAAAATAAAATTAGAGACGTACAACTGCTTATCAAGAATACACCAATGAACCGCGTAAAACAGTTTACCTATCATGGAATAATAGTAAACGAACAATGGGATCACTCACAAGAAGTAAAATGTAGAATAGAAGAGGCTAGGAGTGCATTCAACAACTCTTTAAAAAGCCAAAACCTTAACCTGGAGGTAAAAGTAAGGCTCCTAGGATGATATATCTTCACGATATTATACTACGGAGTTAAATCCTGGACACTCACTAAAGCGATGGAGAAAAAACTTAAATCCTTCGAGATGTGGCTATGTAGAAGGATATATGGATAATATGGATAAGGATATTATGGATGGACAAGATACCCAACGAGACTATACTACGAAAAATGGGAAAATAAAGAAGTAGTAAAGAAGATGTATTTGATTAAAAGGAGAAAGTTAGAATATCTCGGACACATAATGAGAAACGGCACTAAATACAGATTACTAAAAATAATTCTTTAAGGCAAACTATTCGGAAAACGAGGAATTGTAAGAAGAAAAATATCATGGTTAAAAACCCGAGTAAATGCTTCTCCACAACAACAACAACTAATCTATTGTATCAGTTAGTAAAATAATTATAGCCAAAATGATCGCCAATATTCGAAACGAATATACGCCAAAAGAAGAAGAAGAATCAGTCTCTCATTATCAATATTTTCTTACTCTATTTCTGGCTCACTTTACCTTTTTCCTTTTAATTTCTCTCTTTCTACCACTATTTGTCTATCTCTCAATTCACTGTTTATTTCTCTGTTTCTCTCCCTTATACTGCTATCTTGCTTTGTTTTTTTATAACTGATGTCTGGGGTGCACCTGCACCCAGCTCGGGTTTATAAAGGTTAAATAGAGTCTGTTGGAAATACCACAATTTTTCATTCGAATTTTAACTCTTTTAAAATTCTGCGCAATAATTCAATAGAAACCTAGTTTCCTCTACTTTCATTACTTCGTATTGCCTTCGTAATTTTCAAATCAAATTTTTCCGAAGACGGTACAGAGTATAAAGTTTTACTAACAGTAACTTTTTGGTGGTACTGTGTACCACAATCGGTACACAGTGAAATATATTATAAGTAGATATTGCCTTAAGAAAATGTTTTGACCACGTAATACCCTTATCGAACATCTAACGATCCAAAGTCAATATTAAATTTGTATTAACCTGCCAATCGTTGATTTTTCATGGAAACCGGTTGAAGTAAAATCATTTTTATATCAACTTTATTTACTAGAGCTAAATCAGGCTGTGGTGGAATGCGAAAGGAACCACCCATTTTTTTACATTTTCGTAAATATTAAATTTCATAATCATTTTGGCCATTAATATCGGTAAGTAGCTTTCAAACATAGTGGACCAAAAAAACATGACTTTGCCAGTGCCATTAACCAAGGAAAAAAACATAGTGGACCAGTTTAGGAAAACGTATTAATACGAAATTGCCCTTTTTAGCACTTCGAAAATATTCAGGTTCTTCATCAGGTTGTTCAGGAATCCAATTATCATCGTCATCTGAGGACATAGTTGGATATCACTTTCTTCACTAGATTCAGACTCTGTTTTTTGCCATTTAATTAATTTGGTTGTTGTAGGGAATTTCCTTAAACGATCTTTTTACTAATTAGTGCTTTTCATTTTCCTCTTTCTTTCTCTATCAACGCATGTTTCTCGGGTGTGTCAGTAATAATTGTCCTTATGCTTTCTAGGTTTCATGTTAGCTTTACGGGATGGTGCTTTTGGATACCCTCTTAAGTATTCTGGTCTAGCAAAGGTAGAAAGTTTATTATCCATAGTTGTTCCTAGCTGAAATCCTATCTTAGATGGTCCAGGTTTACTTGTTTCTGAAGTAATCTGGTTCTGAAGTTGTGCGCCAGATGGTCCAGCACGTTTAGTATCTGGTATATTTACGAAATTGTACAGTGGTAGGTCTAGATACAGTTAATCCTACAAGGGAAGATCGAAGGTAGGAGAGGAGCCGGCCGCAAACAATTATCCTGGTTAAGGAATATTAAAGAATGGACAGGAATACACAATACAGGTGAGCTGTGTCACGCCGCCAAGAACAGAACTCTAGTAATGAGATAGTCGCCTACGCACTTTGGTGTATGGCATGTTAAGAAGAAGAAGGTCTAGATAATTCATAATTGAGGACATCTTCCCGTTGTAGCCTGTCAGATACTGCTGATGTTAAAAAGTCTGTGCCGTCAAAGATTAGAGAATAAAATAAAATTAAACTTTTCTGAAATGCTGACATATTAAAATGAGTAAAGGATTTCGCATAAGCTTGTCCAACTCATTCGGCTATTTAGTAAATAGTCATGGGAATTCCAGGATGTCGTAGAAGCCAAGAATCAATATCAGCATTGTAATGTACTTTGAATGGTCCAAAGACCGATATATCTAAGGGCTGTATTTTGTGACTAGAATGTGGTTGTAGGGTCAAAATAGTCACACCTGCAGCTCGAGCTTTTTCAACAACGACAACTGATATATGACTTATGATTTTCATATATTAGAACGAAAGGATTGTCAGGTGTACTATGTGAATGCTTTATAAAATGGTCAAGAACATGTAAAAAGAGTTCGGCCGTCATCCAACCATTCTTTTCTCATGGCGCCGTCTCCTTTCGAAGGTTGGCGATCCAAATGGCAATTGTGATTTTGGAAACGGCTGCGCGAAATATTTCTGGCGTCTTCCTACTGATCTTTTGCCCTGCCCTGCACTTTCCTTCCAGTATAACTTGAAGTAATTTATATTTGTCGCCTCTCCAGACATGACCCAAGTATTGAATTTTCCTCTCTTTGATTATTCTTAGTAATTTTTTTTGTTTACACATTCGGCGAAGGATACACATCCAACCATTGGGCTTTGCTAATCCCAGTGTACCTGGATGTGCTCCAGCTACCAAAACTGTGAGTTTTGAAATATTTTCTCAGAAATACCATTGCTAGGGAAATATATGTAGCGTTAGCACAAATGATTGCGCAAGTTGTTACTAGAGTTCCACGTTCGTCACTGCTACGTTGACCAACTTGTTTGGAACCCTTTTCAGCTACAATTTTTCTAGAGTTTTGCACAGTGCTAGTACCCGTTTCATCAAGATTAAACATTTTAGATGCAGTATCTACTTGAGGTTTTTTTTTTAAATATTTGGTGTAGATGATTAAAAAATGTTTTTACAGTGTGTGGGTTAAACAAAGTGATTCGGCTTAAACAGTAGGCTTCTGACTGACGAATGCTAAGATTTTTTCGTCTTTTTCAAATTTTTGTCCAAGATTCAGGAACAACCAGTTTGTTTACATCCGCCACAAGGCTTCTTCACTCTTTTGTGGACAATCCGTATGCCATTTTACTGCAGGTATTAATATACTCTGCTAATCTTACTTCCTGTTCCTCTGTAAAATTTGTCGGACGGTATAATTGGGTGACATTTTTATATTTATTTGCGTCAGGATTATTGCGTTTTTTGAGCACATATCGTCGTAAACTTACAAAACTAATATAATATGTCTCGACTGCTCCACGTAGAGAATAATTTTCCTCTAATACCAACTTGTGGCAAGCCATTACATCTGCAGACGTATTCTTTATTTTCCTAGGCGTTTGCTTTCTAACCATCTGAAATAGCAGAATAACAAATTTTTGGTAATAATTTATAATATTAATTTATAGTATTGAAACGCGTATCACTTTGTACCAGTGGAAAAGGAAGAAAAATTCTATGAAGAACTAGAAGCTGCATACCATTCATGCCCAAAGAATGACATCAAAATTATTTATGGTGATCTCAACGCAAAAATAGGAAAAGAGCAACAATACCAACCAACTATAGGTAAGCACAGCCTAAGGTATTCAATGACAATGGCATCAGACTAAGAAATCTAGCAACTTCCCTTAACATGGTCATTGCCAACACATGCTTCCAGCGAAAAAATATTCATAAAGGAACGTGGAAATCTCCAGATGGGGTCACAGTAAACATGATCGATCATGTTATTATTGACTCTAGACATCACTCAGATGTAATAAATGTATGCAGCAGAAGAGGGGCAAATGCAGACTCGAATCACTACCTAGTGGAAAGTAGAATAAGAGCCAGAATCTCAAACATTTAAAAAGATAAGGGATCCAAAATTGAAAAATATGAAATGAAAAAACTTAGCAGACAACAGCAAAAAGGCAAAATACAAAGAATATATAAAAGGAAGGCTAGAAAATGGGCACAAGCACGAGGATATAAACAGAGAATGGGAAGCGTGTAAAAACATCATACAAGACGCGGCCAAAGAGACTCTTTGTCTACCAAAAAAAAGCCCAAATCAACTGGACAGTGGTTCGATGAAGAGTGTCGTAATATAACAGAGAGGAAAAATAATGCCTATCAACGACTACAACAACGACATAGAACACGAAAGGCAGAGAAGGAATATAGAATGCTAAGGAGGGAAGAGAAGAAAATACATCGTAGAAAGAAAAGAGAGCACATAGGAAAGGAACT